CCTTGTTTTTCCTTGTGGATTTGGATTTTGCCATTTTGGAGTTTCTTTTGGATTACCTGTTTTTTGTTGGATCACTTTGTTTCCTTTGGACTTGTTTGAACTCTACCACTAGTAAGTGTGTATGCCTTTAGTTTTGTTTAATGAATCTCCTGTTTCCGGCATTTAGGTCCTTAATCTTTCATCCAAACCACCAACCCACAAGTACAACAACATTTAAGGAATCTCTCGCTGATATACTTTGGTTTCTTATTAAACACTTACTCTCTGCATTCTGGGGACATTTACTGCACCAGGGAAGAACAAAATTCAGGTGGCAGGTGACAATTCAGAATATAAAAATATAATATTTTAATATATAATATATATAAGTAATCAGTAGCTTAATATTGTTTTTAACTTAAGTTACTTTTTTGGCAGACAAGGCAGAGGTTTCTTCTATATATATATATACTGCATTGCAGGCTTATTGTGCAAATAAACCTTTTTCATAGCATTTTTATTTGTTAATTAACATTTCTTGGTGCAAGCTATTTTTCAGAACTTTTACTATTGGGACGCTGGGGACATGTAGCCACCACTTTTTGAAAGCATTTGTTAAAGACCTTCCCTCCCTGCTACCTCCCTACAGGTTGAGCTACTTACCTGCACTCTCCTGCTCACTTTCTCACCCAGCCCTGTCACTTTGTCACTCAATAACACACGCCTCCGTCTCTGCCTGGCAGCGCCCACAGCTCTCCTTTAATCCATCAGATGCCTGTGCCTGCACTACGCAGGGTATCTGCAGCCCCGGTAGAAAACATATCGGTTGTTTTCGCGCATTTGGCGGCAGCCGTTTGAAGATTTTTTGAGGGGGGGCCGTAACGCAAGAAACAGAGAGCAGTGGGGGTGGGGCTAGTAAGAGATGTGATTGGGCCAGTCCAGTGTCAGCATTTTAAATTTTTACGGACAGAGATGATAGTGGTATTGATCTTGTCATCTAAGTCTCGGCAAGAAATGAACAAAGACTATTTCTCAAGATGTCTCAATTGTCCATGTTCTCTGTTTTTGTCATTCTCAGGTGAACGCATATGGATTCATGACTAAGGACTACAAGAAATACTCTAACTACTATGTTGAAAAGAATATTAAAACCAATGTCATTTTCTACGCCAACCATGACTACATCCTGGAGATGAATACTTGGAAAAAATTACATGACAGCAAAATAATGAGTCTATATCAAAGAACAGACTCAGAAACTGGGACAGAAAAACCGAAGTAACACTGAGACAGTTTTTTAAAAACAGATGCTAATTGTTTACGCTCCTTGGAAGAGATGAGGAAACTCAAACCCCGAGACAAACACTGCTCGGATAAGGAATGCGATAAATAGGAGCCTTGATCTGGTTCCCCAGGGGTTTGTTTTCAGTCTGACCAGAAGTGGAAAATAATATACCAATTGTAGTGAACAACGGTGTGGAGTTGTGCATTTTATATTGAATAAATTTGGAGCTACCCTAAATTCCTTTCTCCTCCCCAGAGAAGATGGGGAGGGGTCAAAGTTGCTTTCTCTAAGTGCTATCCCGACCATAAAACTGGCACCTTTTTGATTCCGAAGCTGATAACGCGGGGCCTGACTGTTAAACTGACAAAGGGACACGAGCCAGCCATTGGCATCTCCCTGAACAGCCTATCAAAACTGGCCCCCCACACACGTTTCCGTGGCAACTGACCTTATTCTTTGTTTTATTACCACATCAAAGGGATACTCCTTGTCTCACCTAAGTGTGACATGGTCCAGACACTGAACTGGACTGCAATCTCCAAAGACTCAAAGTTTAATTAAATCTTTAGTTACCTGATTACGTTTGCCTCTATTTGAGTAGTTATGTTAACTGTTGTTGCTATCTGTTGTTTATTAGTGCTGAAAAGAAGTTACTTGTGCAGTGTTTTTATTTTCAGCAAGACACTCCTTCATCTAATGTAATCCAAGCTTTCCTCATGTAACCTCAGCTCCCCCAAGTGGACGAAATAAGTATTACATGCCCTCGTCGGAAATGCCGTTAAATGTATAAATATCCTGACCAATAATGTGACAATTGTTTCCTGTTACCAAATGCTTAGAACAGTACAACCGTTCAACCATTGAGGTTCGATTGTGGAAAATATTTGATTATAATACGTGCAAATAGATTTCTTTTCTTTAAACATTAAGTTTAGAAAGGCAGTCCCATGGGAAACCTGAGACGCCCCCTGGGAAACCACGCCCCAGACAACAAAAGAGCGACACGCGACCTGCTCGCTCTCTCTTCTCTTCGCTGTTGGCTCTCTGCCACCCTGCTCGGCCCTCTGAACGCTTCGGCAGGCGCAGCGTGCCTCGCCAGGCAACGCCCAGACTCGGCCAGCGAAACAGACAGGCCCTTTTGTTCGCCTGAAGCTACACACCTGAAGTGCCGCGACATCGATCTGCCTTCAGTTTGTTTTATTTTCTTTATTTCTTTTGTTTGTTAAAGTTATGAGTCCGTTAAGTTACACTGGACTAATTCAGGAACGACCAAGTTCCATTTTAAGCCTTTTTCGTCGAAGCCAACTTCACCGAGGTCAGACCAAGCCACGTGGTCTCGCCAGCTACAACGAAGGAAACCTGAAAACAGCCGAATTGCCAGACGGAGGAGGCGTTTTCAATCAGACACGGAGAACCCTGGAGAATCCCTAGCAAAAAACCAGGATCGGCAGCTAGCGTGGGACCCGTGCAACAGGCCAAAAGCAGGCTGTCGACAAGCCGTAAGACTTAACACACGTCCTGTGATCAGATGTCCATTTTAACTCCTAAACTATGACATTAGTTTACTTTCATTAGCTCTTCTATGCCTTATGAGTCAAATGCTTCCCACAATCGAACCTCCAGGCTCATTGTTCAGCAAATGTTTATGTTCCCTGTATCCAACCATCTTTTTATCACCTTAGTTAGAGAATAAATTCACTGTAATACAATCAAGAGCTGTGTGTGTTGCCTATTTATAGTTCCTGCCAAGAGAATTGACCCTTTAGATATGAGACTGACTGACTGATTTAAGATAATTGAGCGATTATTAACTAACTGATCACTAGTAATAATTGTATAATTATTCAAAACTACCTAGAGGTCCGGAGACTCTAGGATTATAACAACTCCGTGGTGCCCTTAACGAGGAAATTTTGAATTTATGAATTTTAATTCATAATTGGGTATCAATTCTCATAAATTTATTAAAATGCGTAACTAATAAATTTAGGTCTACTACACAATGGTTAATAATTAATTAATTAATAGAAGATCGTAAATTTTCAGTGCAGGAATTATACTTCTAAAATAGTATTTTACAGTTTATCAGTGTAATGTAGTAGTGTATTAGTACTTCTACTTAAGTAAGACTGAATACTATGTTTTATTTCCATTTTGTGTTTCACCACAATTTGTCACTATGTCACTACATTTATTTGACAGATTGCATGTAAAATTGTGTAAAGTATAGTAGCTAAGTATGGCAGCTTTTAAAATATGATGCATTGTTACAGAATAAACTACCCAAAAGGATGTACATAAAAACAATAATAAAGTGTTTCATTGTTGTTTTACAACATTACTTTGTAATGCCAACTTCTAAATAGGTATCCAATGATTGATAACTAAATAATATTGCTAAATGACGGTACACGATCATAAATGTACCTTTATGGTGTAGTTTAGTCCAACTGCCACTGTGGCCTTTATTTATGTGACATTCACAAGTCCCATTGTGATGCGATGTGAGCAACAGGTTTTCTCTGCCTAATCATTCAATAAATCTGACACATACAACAGTTAACATATCAAAAATTCACATAGCCGTGTAATAACGTTTTAAAGTAATGTTCACCTAGCAGTTTGCTAATGACTCATATTCGTATCCTAATTTAGTTAGGCTACTTGGATGAGTTGACAACCTGTAGTTTACTGGCTTAATGTTGAACTCTGAAATGCTTTATTACTTTTTTCGTGCATTACCAGTGAAAACTCACTTAAACATAGGCTGAAAGTAGCAAGTGTGTAAGGCAACAATCCCATTTCTCAATTCTTCTATACACTTTCCCAGAGTCAGGGATTTAGTATGCATATTGTTGGGTGTATGATTAAACACAGATGTAATGCATTTGGATTACTCTCTTTTCAAACGGGCGAATCCAAATCCATCCCGTCTTGTGTGTGTGTGTGTGTGTGTGTCCCCTTCGATCAGTGACGTCACTACTCGGGAGGAATGTGAACGAAAAATAACCACGCATGCATTTGAAACATTTGTTTTTTACGTATCACATCTGAAGTATTTTGTTTACTAACTAATAATCAAGATGTTGCCAGCAAAAAACAAGAGTGAGTAAGTTTCTCAGGGCTTCCAGCGGAATTTGAGGACCTTATCCTATCAGCGATAAAGGCCGTCCCTCAGACATCTCGTGATGCTTTGCGGTAGAGCTTTGATAAAAATTACTGAAAAACCTTCTATTTGGATGAAATACAAAATATACTTTGTAATTTACGTTTTCTTAAATGTTTCTGGTTAGAATATAGCCTAATATGTTTTCATCGGTAATTATCATTCCTATGGCAGTTTACTATTGAAGTTTGATGGAGGTGGTGACCGGAGGAAAGCAAAGATAAGCATTTGCATACAACTCTTACAGTTGACTCTAAACTATTCAGTTAAAGCGCAGTCATTACATTGTCAGGAAACATGTACTGCAGTTGAACTTTCGGAAACTCAGATAAATCGGTTGTTTTAGATGTGTTGTGTCAGCTCAGATTTGTTGTTGCAGTACTGTGGCCCTATGACGGGCATTGCTAAATAATAAAACCCAGAAAACAGCGCTGGGCACATGAAGCTTTCTGAAACTTCTGAGCAATAATGCTTAAGGTGTTTTATAGAACTAGACATGTGATTGCACTGCTGTGGCCCCAATGGCGGGCGATGTGAAAAGATAACCCCAGAAAATGGAAAGAGAGCAAAGCTGGCCTTTATTTACTACTGCCGCTACAATTACCCAAAGTGACATATCCACAATGTGTGTTTTGTCCAACCAACAGTCCAAACCTAAAATAATTATTAAGTATATTTTGTCAGACCAGGACTGAAAAAAAACATATCAAGGCATCCATTTATCACATACTTAATCCGGACAGTGTTACAGAAACTGTTGTCATACATTGGCTCGGGGTTTGAGTTTCCTCATCTCTTCCAAGGAGCGTAAACAATTAGCATCAGTTTAAAAAACAGACAAGTAAAATGACCTAAGTTTATCTGAGTTGTTTCAGCTTTTCTGTCCCAGTTTCTGAGTCTGTTCTTTGATATAGCCTCATTATTTTGCTGTCATGTAATTTCTTCCACAATTTCATCTCCAGGATGTAGTCATGGTTGGCGTAGAAAATGACATTGGTTTTAATATTCTTCTCAACATAGTAGTTGGAGTATTTCTTGTAGTCCTCAGTCATGAATCCATATGCGTTCACCTGAGAATGACAAAACAGAACAGGTGAACTCACACCAAGAAAAGATTTGTTAAAAGTAGGGCTGTCTTTGTGAAGTAATTTCCACTGCAGCAATATGATAAAATGGACAGACTAAAAGTCACAAACAGATATTACAACTTGTAAACACATAACACAATCTACAAATAGATTAAACATCCGCAAACAAAGTTCTCATGATCCACAAATATAAAGCATGATATACAAAAAGATTAAAAATCTACAAATAAACACATCATGATTCACAAATAGAAATCAGTGACTTGTACTTGAAAACCAGAATTTGAATGAATGTAAAGCGATTTGTTTGCAGGTGAATTTCATGTTCTGTTTGTAGATTGTGTCACATTTGTTTTCAGAATTTTGACACTAACAATGCCATAATTGTTGAAAATGAATAGATTTAAATTAGATAGAAATAGACTTAAAATCTGCAAACAAACACATTTCCCTGAATGTTGAACAATTCATTTTAGAAATGATAAACTATACCAATTAAGAGTTAAAATCTGTAACTGTATACTGTATACTTCATGTTTATAGAGGCATGGATACCTTTAGATGGCTAATATTAACTTACAGTGTCACAGGTGTGCAGAGCCAGGAAAAGAGTGAATGCTCCATTGGTTGGTCTGACTATCGCCCAGTGTGAACCATTCAGATGAGGAGACTTTAAGAACCTGTGGGCAATGAACAATACCAATGTCTTTGGCATAGAAGACAATATAAACTACACACTCCAATGTGACTATAGACATTACAAAGTTCCTTGACATTTTCATATTTGACATCTGAGTACAAATAGCTAGATGTTTATTATGTAAATAAACAGTTTTAAAATCCATCTGTTTACATGTATATTACATGTATGTATAGGGGTGGTGATGGGTCAGTGGATAAGACACATGCCTTTGGTGTGAGAGACCCGGGTTCAAACATCCACCAATGTGTCCCTGCGCAAGACACTTAACCCCTAGTTGCTCCAGAGGCATGCGACCTCTGACATAAATAGTAATTGTATGTCGCTTTGGATAAAAACATCAGCTAAATTAGTAAATGTACATTATTGATTGATACATTTATTTCAAACATGTTGAAAAAACAAACGACAAACAATTTAAAATAAGCATACATTCAAAATAACACACAAAAAACAAAAAGAACAATTTATGATTGCCAAGAAAAGAAAACTTCTATTGACATGCCAAATATTTTCAGTCCACACTCCTGTGTGTGTGTGTGTGTGTGTGTGTGTGTGTGTGTGTGTGTGTGTGTGTGTGTTTCACTCTTGCACATCTGCTGCCTAAAGAGGAAGTAAATAAACCAGTGCTACCTATACTTGTATTATTTTCCCTGAGCATATTAAATAAATATTATATAATTGTTCCACCAATATATTTCTCTTTTATAAATAATTGCCGAAAATGAGTTGGCCCCGATACAATCACTGCCCCTCACGAGTCGCAAATGCATAATACTTAATACTTCTACTACATAATACTTCTGAGTAATGAGTGTGCACACTGAGGTTCTGAGTAGGCTATAGTAAAACGTTCAGTACAAGTCTATGCACATTTTTATTATTAATTATTAGTCTGGCTCACAGGCTGTTGGTATAAGCCGGTCATTGGCCGACTATTTCAGTTAGCATTCTCCTTCCCTTCCACTATCTGCTTGTCCCTGCCCACCTGCTAAAACAAAGTACAAAAAAAAGTCATTATCATTATAAACCATACAAAGTAAAAAAAGTAGTAGGATTGTGAAAGGAGGCTGACCTGTTCCGCACGTATCTGAGGAAATCCTGGTGCAGAACATAGAAGCGGCTCTCATTGTACTGCCCGCCATAGAACGTCCACGGCCTGGAGGGTTAAAATATAAAAGTCAGCAGGGTTAACGAAACGACATGCTGAAAAGTGCAAAATTACTACAGTTACACTGTGTTTCTGAGTTACTTGTGTTAATCTGGTGCTGTTATTGTTGGCAGCTGTTGTTGGATGTCTGCCACTTTGCATCTTAACAGCAATCAACATATTGACAAGGAATTTCTCATTTCTCAGTTTGTACATCCTCGATTCCATTCCCTGCCTCCTCGAAAGGAATTGAGGAGAGAGGATTCGAGGCAACAGGCATTTAACAAAATGAGACATTGTGGTGTATAACATATGTGCATTTGACCATTACAGTTTAATATAATGCTCTGCAGCTGGTGAAAGGAACAGTGAACCCTTATGAGGAAGTAATGATTGATGGGTGAACCAAGAGTGAACCCTCCTATAAGAATTTGACCCCTGACCCAGAGCTGGAGAGAGACACAGTGGTAGGGGAAGTGGTGTCTAACAGATGGTTACACTTAGTCTACCGCACTGTGCCCTTATATGGTATTTAGCAGAGATAAATGTCTTATATAAGCTGTGTTCAATGTACAGAGAGACAGAGTGGTTATCGGGCTGGGTCACTCTCCAAGCTGCTGCAGAGCTTGTAATTGATGCTGAATTCTTTGATGTAATAAACTTTTATAATCAAGAACAGTGTCAAGCGGATTTCTTCTCAACACATCATCGCAGCATTATCGTTCGGACACCACAACATGGCTTCAGAATCATCGTTTTAAAGTGTCAGTTAAATATGAATATGTGCAATAAATGTCCATTGTTTTATTATAGCCTGTATTTTATGATCTTTGTCAATGAGCTTAACAGCATTCATGACAACGTTATGTTTTATTTACTTAGCTACTTTCGTTTTTTATTTACTTTTACTTCAATTTACAACGGGTATATAACAACTGTGGTGGCGTCTTAGTAACATTACATAAACTGGACATTACGAGCCAACATGTGAGATGCATCTTAGGAATTGAGACGTCCTTGAGACGCTGAGATAGATTTCTGGGTCACAGGCATAAGGACGGAGGAGAGAGGAGACACAAAATAGATTAATAGGAAGAGCCCGGTATGTTTTCCTTATTCCAGTAGCATAAAGCTTAGTGCAGCGAGGGAGAGATGACCTTGCATGCAGATGAACATGCATGTGGAATTCATTTCAATATAAAATATTTATATTTCTCACCTTTTCCCTGATGGTCTGTTGCAAATTTTGTTGCTAGTTGCTTTTTTTAAATAAAGTTGTTAAAAAATTTTAAACACAAACCTGCAGGGAAGATGTTACAAAGCTTATTCTTGAACTCATAAACACTTGATGAATAACTTTTATTGCCTAATTCACAAAAAGACACTGGGTTGTTGTGTTTCACAAGTACACTGCATGAGTTTTCTGCCCAGCCACAAAGCAGTATCTGGTGAATGGTTAACATGACTTATGACCTCCATAAAATTTAAGAACTGATACCTGCTTGCCTTCTTTCAATAGTTAAAATGTAAAGTCACTTCAAAAATAAATGTTCACCTGCATCGGATATTACACTTGGTGACACATTTCAATTCAATTCGATTTTATTTATATAGGGCCAAATCACAACAACAGTTATCTCACAGCGCTTTTCATAAAAGAGCAGGTCTAGACCGTACTCTTTGATGCTATTTACAGAAGCCCAACAGTTCCCACCAAGAGCAGCATTAGGCGACAGAGGCAAGGAAAAACCTCCTTTTAAGAGGCAGAAACCTCGAGCAGAACCGTGACTCAGGGTGGGCGGCCATCTGCCTCGACCGGTTGGGGGTGAGAGAGAGAGAGAGAGAGAGAGAGAGAGAGAGAGAGCGAGAGAGAGAGGGGGCAGCAGAGGAACAGAGAGAAAAAGAGAGGGATGGAAGGAGAGAGGGAGGCAGCCTACACAATATGCACACACAGGTACAGACAGTAAAGGGGATGTTGCTATAGACTAAATGAAAAATGGTACAGATATTTATAGTAGTGTTAATGATAATAATCATAATGTTAATGATTATAACAACAACAATAACAATAAGACTAGCAACAATAGTCGAGAGTGTCAAGCAGAAACACGGGGGCAACAGGTGACCTGCAGCCACAGATCCAGACTCCACAGCTCCAGAGCCAGAAACACCTGCAGGAAGTAATAGGAGGTGAGAGGAGAGGGACGAGAAAGCACAAGACTACCGGAAAGGGGAGAAGTTGTGTTAGTAACATGCAATAATGGGATGAGGTTGCATACAGAGGGAGAGAAAGTAGAGGAGAGAGGAGCTCAGTGCATCATGGGAAATCCTCCGTCAGTCTAGGCCTATAGCAGCATAACTAAGGGATGGTTCAGGACTGGCCAACATTTCCAGGCCCAATCCAAAATGTTCCAGCACTGGATAAACTGTGTGTGTGTGTGTGTGTGTGCGCGTGTCACCTTTCACTAATAGTATATTGAGTTGTTAATCACCGATGGTTGCGATATGACCCAGCAGAGATCCTTTCTCCTTTGAGAAGACCCTGGAGCCAGTTGAAATCCCTCATCCCCTCAGGAATCAGCACGTATTTTATACCCTGCCAAAAGGAAGGTACACAGTAGATTTAATCACCATTTTACAACAGGGTTGTAAAATGAAATGCAGTTTGCAGCTTCTTTCTTCTGCAAAGCAGACAGTATATACAAAAACTATAAAATGGTAAACAGAAATAAACTATAATGCATAGAGAAGGGCTGAGGATGAATTGGAATTTGAGTCTCATAGCTTGGGGGAAAAATCTGCTCTGCAGTCTGGTGGTGCGACAGCAGATACTTCTACATCTCTTTCCAGACGGCAGCAGGGTGGACAGGCTGTGGCTCCGATCCTGGATCCTGCACATCACATACCAATTCCATTCAGGATGCCTTCTATTGTCTTTTTGCCTTCTTTTGTTCCCTGAAATACAACCATTTCTGAGCTTTCTTCACCAGCCTGGAGATGTGAGTTGACCATGTCAGGTTCTCTGTGATGCTGAATCCCAGGAACCTAAAACTGTTCACCTGCTCCAGCACTGCTCCACTGATGTAGACAGTAGTAGGTATATTTATCTCCTTTTCCCTAAAATCAACCATCAGTTTGTTGGTTCTGCTGATGTTGAGCAGTAGGCTGTGCAGTGTGCACCACACTGTAAGATTATTCATTCAAACAATGATGAAGTCTCATCATTGTTTGAAATACAATGATGGTGGTAGCGTTGGGGTGGAGGAGGTGTGTCCAACAGTCCAAACTGTCTGAGGTCTATTTGTGAGGAAGTTCAGTATCCAGTTGCAGAGTCTGGTACTTAAACCCAGAGTGTTGAGTTTGCTGATAAGTTTCATGGGGACATTGTGTTGAATGCTGGTCTGAAATCCACAAACAGCATTCTGATGTAGGTGTTATTTCTCCCAGGGTGTGTGAAGACTGATTAAAGGGCAGTGGAGATGGCAGAACCAGTTTCTCAAAGCACTTCATCAGAATGGGGGTGCTACAGCACGGTAGTCATTCAGACTAAACACTGCAGACTTTTTAGATACAGCAATGATGGTGGCTGTCTTGAAGCAGGTGGTAGTAGACTTTACAACTGACTAGTGGACAACTGACTCTATCACTAGTGGTTCTCTACCTCTAAACCACACCTGCCACATTACATTGTAACACTTTTGTCGTTTGAGTACCTCATCATGAGGTGCAGATGTGTATCCGTACTTCTTGAAAAAATACGGCGACATAGTGATGGAGTGGGCCGTGTGAACGTACACTGATGTTCTGTTTCCTACGTCTTCCTCGTAGCCTTTGATGGCTGCACCGTTCATCCTACCACACAAACAGATGGAAAAATGTGAGAGTGGCATTGTGTACTCATACTATTGCCTCATGAGATTCATGAGAAACCATATCTAAATATTGACTCGGCAAATAAAGTGAATGACCAGTGCTCCTGATAGCCGTCACCTCAGCAATGACACAGGGATATATGATCTTTAAAATGTCTTCCATGAATTACCTTTTGAATTGTTTTGAAACCTTATGGCCCGCCAGGTCACTAAGTTGTTTTCCTCTTTCTTACCGGAAAACGTAATTGTGAGCATCGATCTCTTTCCCCATTTTAGAGCCATTGAGGATCCCACCAGTGGCCACCACAGCACATCTCACACACCCGCCACTGCCTGGCTTTGGAAGGAGCAGTGGCTCTTTTGGCTTTGGGATCAACTTCAGCGAAGTCATCACATCTGTAAACCAAAAAACACAAAATGCACATAGAAGCTGGGGAAAAAAACTGGTTTATACAAGCAAAACATTATTACTAATGGCTTGCTAGGTGGTTGCTTAACGTTGCCTACCGTTATACTTGTACTCCATAAAACCAAAAGGATTATTAAAATGTGATATTCTGTTCCACTCGCTCATGTTGATGCTGTCTTTGTGCAGAAACAAACGTATGTTGGGAAGGAAAGCCTTCTTGAAGCTCTCATCTTTAGAGTTTCGCAGAGACTCAGCACATGTCTGAGAATGAAGGATAAAATATTCAATCTAACAGAAAGAAAAACATATAAAAATGTGATTTCCACCTTGTTCATCTAGCTGAAACCATTGATTTTATCAAGGCCCCACACAGCTGAAGAAACAGCAGGTAAAATCAGGTGACAGAGAAGTCAAACAGATGAGCACAGATGATTTATGGCATTAACCTGCCATTAACCCTTTCATTTGTCCAGCAGTTAGGAAACAACTTGGTCATTAGAAGCTGCAGCATTCATTAACGCACACACAGTAACATACACTGTAGCCTGCCAAATTGGACAACTTTCTGCTAATCTTTTCCTTTGCTCCACTGACTTTCACCTTCACTTACTGCCGCTCACGCTCTTTCTCTCATGACAGCTAACCCAAAGTTACTCACATTATCACTGTGTCATTAAATCATTGTGCCTGCAAAATAAAAGCGTGAGAATTATTTTTGGCATCAATGCTCTATATTGAGTTGAATTGAGACCTTTCTTCTGTCTTTCTGAAAGACATTCAAAAGAGTCTGTGGCTTGCTTAATACATCTCTGAAATAGCCGTCGGGACAATGCACGCAATATGGCGAAGACTATGAAGGAATGTGGGGTTGCCATCTTGGGCTATGTGGCACACTTTACAGCTTGCTGTTAAAGAGACTGTACTGAGCCAAAGAATTATAACTGGTGATCTAGCCAGTTGATAAGTGTTGGTTTCAAACATTAAGAATTTTATGCCCCACTAAGAACAACAAAATAAAATGGGCATGTGTCTGTGATGATAATTATATAAACTCTGTGATAAACTCATTCAGTGTCTAGTATATGCAAACTGCATACCACAAGAGTGCACCGCTCTGAGTGGTTGTTTGTCAGTGTGTGGCCCTGCAGTGGGCTGGCGACTTGTCCAGGGTGTACCTTGCCTTTTGCCCAATGTCAGCTGGGGTAGGCTCCAGCCCCCGCGAACCTGTATGCAAGATAAGCGATTGATGATGGATGGACACCAAATACCCTAATTTTACATGTATCAGAATAAACTACAAAAACCAAGAGCCACGCCATGTATCAAAATAAACTACTGTATTTTGCACAAATATTAGAAACACTTTTCCAAGGTAACATGAAATCAGTTCGCAAACCTATCTATCGGCCTATTTAAACTATCCCTTCACCAGAACACTGTCCCGGTTGATTAAGTGGACAGTGTTTAAGAGCAACAGGTTTTCTCTGCCTAATCATTCAATAAATCTGACACATACAACAGTTAACATATCAAAAATTCACATAGCCGTGTAATAACGTTTTAAAGTAATGTTCACCTAGCAGTTTGCTAATGACTCATATTCGTATCCTAATTTAGTTAGGCTACTTGGATGAGTTGACAACCTGTAGTTTACTGGCTTAATGTTGAACTCTGAAATGCTTTATTACTTTTTTCGTGCATTACCAGTGAAAACTCACTTAAACATAGGCTGAAAGTAGCAAGTGTGTAAGGCAACAATCCCATTTCTCAATTCTTCTATACACTTTCCCAGAGTCAGGGATTTAGTATGCATATTGTTGGGTGTATGATTAAACACAGATGTAATGCATTTGGATTACTCTCTTTTCAAACGGGCGAATCCAAATCCATCCCGTCTTGTGTGTGTGTGTGTGTGTGTGTCCCCTTCGATCAGTGACGTCACTACTCGGGAGGAATGTGAACGAAAAATAACCACGCATGCATTTGAAACATTTGTTTTTTACGTATCACATCTGAAGTATTTTGTTTACTAACTAATAATCAAGATGTTGCCAGCAAAAAACAAGAGTGAGTAAGTTTCTCAGGGCTTCCAGTGGAATTTGAGGACCTTATCCTATCAGCGATAAAGGCCGTCCCTCAGACATCTCGTGATGCTTTGCGGTAGAGCTTTGATAAAAATTACTGAAAAACCTTCTATTTGGATGAAATACAAAATATACTTTGTAATTTACGTTTTCTTAAATGTTTCTGGTTAGAATATAGCCTAATATGTTTTCATCGGTAATTATCATTCCTATGGCAGTTTACTATTGAAGTTTGATGGAGGTGGTGACCGGAGGAAAGCAAAGATAAGCATTTGCATACAACTCTTACAGTTGACTCTAAACTATTCAGTTAAAGCGCAGTCATTACATTGTCAGGAAACATGTACTGCAGTTGAACTTTCGGAAACTCAGATAAATCGGTTGTTTTAGATGTGTTGTGTCAGCTCAGATTTGTTGTTGCAGTACTGTGGCCCTATGACGGGCATTGCTAAATAATAAAACCCAGAAAACAGCGCTGGGCACATGAAGCTTTCTGAAACTTCTGAGCAATAATGCTTAAGGTGTTTTATAGAACTAGACATGTGATTGCACTGCTGTGGCCAAAATGGCGGGCGGTGTGAAAAGATAACCCCAGAAAATGGAAAGAGAGCAAAGCTGGCCTTTATTTACTACTGCCGCTACAATTACCCAAAGTGACATATCCACAATGTGTGTTTTGTCCAACCAACAGTCCAAACCTAAAATAATTATTAAGTATATTTTGTCAGACCAGGACTGAAAAAAAACATATCAAGGCCTCCATTTATCACATACTTAATCCGGACAGTGTTACAGAAACTGTTGTCATACATTGGCTCGGGGTTTGAGTTTCCTCATCTCTTCCAAGGAGCGTAAACAATTAGCATCAGTTTAAAAAACAGACAAGTAAAATGACCTAAGTTTAAGTTGTTTCAGCTTTTCTGTCCCAGTTTCTGAGTCTGTTCTTTGATATAGCCTCATTATTTTGCTGTCATGTAATTTCTTCCACAATTTCATCTCCAGGATGTAGTCATGGTTGGCGTAGAAAATGACATTGGTTTTAATATTCTTCTCAACATAGTAGTTGGAGTATTTCTTGTAGTCCTCAGTCATGAATCCATATGCGTTCACCTGAGAATGACAAAAACAGAACAGGTGAACTCACACCAAGAAAAGATTTGTTAAAAGTAGGGCTGTCTTTGTGAAGTAATTTCCACTGCAGCAATATGATAAAATGGACAGACTAAAAGTCACAAACAGATATTACAACTTGTAAACACATAACACAATCTACAAATAGATTAAACATCCGCAAACAAAGTTCTCATGATCCACAAATATAAAGCATGATATACAAAAAGATTAAAAATCTACAAATAAACACATCATGATTCACAAATAGAAATCAGTGACTTGTACTTGAAAACCAGAATTTGAATGAATGTAAAGCGATTTGTTTGCAGGTGAATTTCATGTTCTGTTTGTAGATTGTGTCACATTTGTTTTCAGAATTTTGACACTAACAATGCCATAATTGTTGAAAATGAATAGATTTAAATTAGATAGAAATAGACTTAAAATCTGCAAACAAACACATTTCCCTGAATGTTGAACAATTCATTTTAGAAATGATAAACTATACCAATTAAGAGTTAAAATCTGTAACTGTATACTGCATACTTCATGTTTATAGAGGCATGGATACCTTTAGATGGCTAATATTAACTTACAGTGTCACAGGTGTGCAGAGCCAGGAAGAGAGTGAATGCTCCATTGGTTGGTCTGACTATCGCCCAGTGTGAACCATTCAGATGAGGAGACTTTAAGAACCTGTGGGCAATGAACAATACCAATGTCTTTGGCATAGAAGACAATATAAACTACACACTCCAATGTGACTATAGACATTACAAAGTTCCTTGACATTTTCATATTTGACATCTGAGTACAAATAGCTAGATGTTTATTATGTAAATGTTTTAAAATCCATCTGTTTACATGTATATTACATGTATGTATAGGGGTGGTGATGGTCAGTGGATAAGACACATGCCTTTGGTGTGAGAGACCCGGGTTCAAACATCCACCAATGTGTCCCTGCGCAAGACACTTAACCCCTAGTTGCTCCAGAGGCATGCGACCTCTGACATAAATAGTAATTGTATGTCGCTTTGGATAAAAACATCAGCTAAATTAGTAAATGTACATTATTGATTGATACATTTATTTCAAACATGTTGAAAAAACAAACGACAAACAATTTAAAATAAGCATACATTCAAAATAAACAAAAAGAACAATTTATGATTGCCAAGAAAAGAAAAATTGACATGCCAAAATTTTCAGTCCACACTCCTGTGTGTGTGTGTGTGTGTGTGTGTGTGTGTGTGTGTGTGTGTGTATTTGTGTTTCACTCTTGCACATCTGCTGCCTAAAGAGGAAGTAAATAAACCAGTGCTACCTATACTTGTATTATTTTCCCTGAGCATATTAAATAAATATTATATAATTGTTCCACCAATATATTTTCTCTTTTATAAATAATTGCCGAAAATGAGTTGGCCCCGATACAATCACTGCCCCCCACGAGTCGCAAATGCATAATACTTAATACTTCTACTACATAATACTTCTGAGTAATGAGTGTGCACACTGAGGTTCTGAGTAGGCTATAGTAAAACGTTCAGTACAAGTCTATGCACATTTTTATTATTAATTATTAGTCTGGCTCACAGGCTGTTGGTATAAGCCGGTCATTGGCCGACTATTTCAGTTAGCATTCTCCTTCCCTTCCACTATCTGCTTGTCCCTGCCCACCTGCTAAAACAAAGTACAAAAAAAAGTCATTATCATTATAAACCATACAAAGTAAAAAAGTAGTAGATTGTGAAAGGAGGCTGACCTGTTCCGCACGTATCTGAGGAAATCCTGGTGCAGAACATAGAAGCGGCTCTCATTGTACTGCCCGCCATAGAACGTCCACGGCCTGGAGGGTTAAAATATAAAAGTCAGCAGGGTTAACGAAACGACATGCTGAAAAGTGCAAAATTACTACAGTTACACTGTGTTTCTGAGTTACTTGTGTTAATCTGGTGCTGTTATTGTTGGCAGCTGTTGTTGGATGTCTGCCACTTTGCATCTTAACAGCAATCAACATATTGACAAGGAATTTCTCATTTCTCAGTTTGTACATCCTCGATTCCATTCCCTGCCTCCTCGAAAGGAATTGAGGAGAGAGGATTCGAGGCAACAGGCATTTAACAAAATGAGACATGGCTTCAGAATCATCGTTTTAAAGCGTCAGTTAAATATGAATATGTGCAATAAATGTCCATTGTTTTATTATAGCCTGTATTTTATGATCTTTGTCAATGAGCTTAACAGCATTCATGACAACGTTATGTTTTATTTACTTAGCTACTTTCGTTTTTTATTTACTTTTACTTCAATTTACAACGGGTATATAACAACTGTGGTGGCGTCTTAGTAACATTACATAAACTGGACATTACGAGCCAACATGTGAGATGCATCTTAGGAATTGAGACGTCCTTGAGACGCTGAGATAGATTTCTGGGTCACAGGCATAAGGACGGAGGAGAGAGGAGACACAAAATAGATTAATAGGAAGAGCCCGGTATGTTTTCCTTATTCCAGTAGCATAAAGCTTAGTGCAGCGAGGGAGAGATGACCTTGCATGCAGATGAACATGCATGTGGAATTCATTTCAATATAAAATATTTATATTTCTCACCTTTTCCCTGATGGTCTGTTGCAAATTTTGTTGCTAGTTGCTTTTTTTAAATAAAGTTGTTAAAAAATTTTAAACACAAACCTGCAGGGAAGATGTTACAAAGCTTATTCTTGAACTCATAAACACTTGATGAATAACTTTTATTGCCTAATTCACAAAAAGACACTGGGTTGTTGTGTTTCACAAGTACACTGCATGAGTTTTCTGCCCAGCCACAAAGCAGTATCTGGTGAATGGTTAACATGACTTATGACCTCCATAAAATTTAAGAACTGATACCTGCTTGCCTTCTTTCAATAGTTAAAATGTAAAGTCACTTCAAAAATAAATGTTCACCTGCATCGGATATTACACTTGGTGACACATTTCAATTCAATTCGATTTTATTTATATAGGCCAAATCACAACAACAGTTATCTCACAGCGCTTTTCATAAAAGAGCAGGTCTAGACCGTACTCTTTGATGCTATTTACAGAAGCCCAACAGTTCCCACCAAGAGCAGCATTAGGCGACAGAGGCAAGGAAAAACCTCCTTTTAAGAGGCAGAAACCTCGAGCAGAACCGTGACTCAGGGTGGGCGGCCATCTGCCTCGACCGGTTGGGGGTGAGAGAGAGAGAGAGAGAGAGAGAGAGAGAGAGAGAGAGAGAGAGAGAGAGGGGGCAGCAGAGGAACAGAGAGAAAAAGAGAGGGATGGAAGGAGAGAGGGAGGCAGCCTACACAATATGCACACACAGGTACAGACAGTAAAGGGGATGTTGCTATAGACTAAATGAAAAATGGTACAGATATTTATAGTAGTGTTAATGATAATAATCATAATGTTAATGATTATAACAACAACAATAACAATAAGACTAGCAACAATAGTCTAGAGTGTCGAGCAGAAACACGGGGGCAACAGGTGACCTGCAGCCACAGATCCAGACTCCACAGCTCCAGAGCCAGAAACACCTGCAGGAAGTAATAGGAGGTGAGAGGAGAGGGACGAGAAAGCACAAGACTACCGGAAAGGGGAGAAGTTGTGTTAGTAACATGCAATAATGGGATGAGGTTGCATACAGAGGGAGAGAAAGTAGAGGAGAGAGGAGCTCAGTGCATCATGGGAAATCCTCCGTCAGTCTAGGCCTATAGCAGCATAACTAAGGGATGGTTCAGGACTGGCCAACATTTCCAGGCCCAATCCAAAATGTTCCAGCACTGGATAAACTGTGTGTGTGTGTGTGTGTGCGCGTGTCACCTTTCACTAATAGTATATTGAGTTGTTAATCACCGATGGTTGCGATATGACCCAGCAGAGATCCTTTCTCCTTTGAGAAGACCCTGGAGCCAGTTGAAATCCCTCATCCCCTCAGGAATCAGCACGTATTTTATACCCTGCCAAAAGGAAGGTACACAGTAGATTTAATCACCATTTTACAACAGGGTTGTAAAATGAAATGCAGTTTGCAGCTTCTTTCTTCTGCAAAGCAGACAGTATATACAAAAACTATAAAATGGTAAACAGAAATAAACTATAATGCATAGAGAAGGGCTGAGGATGAATTGGAATTTGAGTCTCATAGCCTGGGGGAAAAATCTGCTCTGCAGTCTGGTGGTGCGACAGCAGATACTTCTACATCTCTTTCCAGACGGCAGCAGGGTGGACAGGCTGTGGCTCCGATCCTGGATCCTGCACATCACATACCAATTCCATTCAGGATGCCTTCTATTGTCTTTTTGCCTTCTTTTGTTCCCTGAAATACAACCATTTCTGAGCTTTCTTCACCAGCCTGGAGATGTGAGTTGACCATGTCAGGTTCTCTGTGATGCTGAATCCCAGGAACCTAAAACTGTTCACCTGCTCCAGCACTGCTCCACTGATGTAGACAGTAGTGTGTATATTTATCTCCTTTTCCCTAAAATCAACCATCAGTTTGTTGGTTCTGCTGATGTTGAGCAGTAGGCTGTTCAGTGTGCACCACACTGTAAGATTATTCATTATGATGAAGTCTCATCATTGTTTGAAATACAATGATGGTGGTAGCGTTGGGGTGGAGGAGGTGTGTCCAACAGTCCAAACTGTCTGAGGTCTATTTGTGAGGAAGTTCAGTATCCAGTTGCAGAGTCTGGTACTTAAACCCAGAGTGTTGAGTTTGCTGATAAGTTTCATGGGAGACATTGTGTTGAATGCTGGTCTGAAATCCACAAACAGCATTCTGATGTAGGTGTTATTTCTCCCAGGGTGTGTGAAGACTGATTAGAGGGCAGTGGAGATGGCAGAACCAGTTTCTCAAAGCACTTCATCAGAATGGGGGTGCTACAGCACGGTAGTCATTCAGACTAAACACTGCAGACTTTTGAAGGCTGTCTTGAAGCAGGTGGTAGTAGACTTTACAACTGACTTTGTTGTTGAGCATAAAAGGTATTTAGCTTATCTGGTAATGTGACCTCACACATGATAGGGGAACTCCTACTTTTGTAGCCTGTGATGTTTTTGTTTGCCTGCCACATATCTTTGGTTGGAACCAAGGACCTTTTGATTAGTGGACAACTGACTCTATCACTAGTGGTTCTCTACCTCTAAACCACACCTGCCACATTACATTGTAACACTCTTGTCATTGGAGTTTGAGTACCTCATCATGAGGTGCAGATGTGTATCCGTACTTCTTGAAAAAATACGGCGACATAGTGATGGAGTGGGCCGTGTGAACGTACACTGATGTTCTGTTTCCTACGTCTTCCTCGTAGCCTTTGATGGCTGCACCGTTCATCCTACCACACAAACAGATGGAAACGTGAGAGTGGCATTGTGTACTCATACTATTGCCTCATGAGATTCATGAGAAACCATATCTAAATATTGACTCGGCAAATAAAGTGAATGACCAGTGCTCCTGATAGCCGTCACCTCAGCAATGACACAGGGATATATGATCTTTAAAATGTCTTTCATGAATTACCTTTTGAATTGTTTTGAAACCTTATGGCCCGCCAGGTCACTAAGTTGTTTTCCTCTTTCTTACCGGAAAACGTAATTGTGAGCATCGATCTCTTTCCCCATTTTAGAGCCATTGAGGATCCCACCAGTGGCCACCACAGCACATCTCACACACCCGCCACTGCCTGGCTTTGGAAGGAGCAGTGGCTCTTTTGGCTTTGGGATCAACTTCAGCGAAGTCATCACATCTGTAAACCAAAAAACACAAAATGCACATAGAAGCTGGGGAAAAAAACTGGTTTATACAAGCAAAACATTATTACTAATGGCTTGCTAGGTGGTTGCTTAACGTTGCCTACCGTTATACTTGTACTCCATAAAACCAAAAGGATTATTAAAATGTGATATTCTGTTCCACTCGCTCATGTTGATGCTGTCTTTGTGCAGAAACAAACGTATGTTGGGAAGGAAAGCCTTCTTGAAGCTCTCATCTTTAGAGTTTCGCAGAGACTCAGCACATGTCTGAGAATGAAGGATAAAATATTCAATCTAACAGAAAGAAAAACATATAAAAATGTGATTTCCACCTTGTTCATCTAGCTGAAACATTGATTTTATCAAGGCCCCACACAGCTGAAGAAACAGCAGGTAAAATCAGGTGACAGAGAAGTCAAACAGATGGCACAGATGATTTATGGCATTAACCCTTTCATTTGTCCAGCAGTTAGGAAACAACTTGGTCATTAGAAGCTGCAGCATTCATTAACGCACACACAGTAACATACACTGTAGCCTGCCAAATTGGACAACTTTCTGCTAATCTTTTCCTTTGCTCCACTGACTTTCACCTTCACTTACTGCCGCTCACGCTCTTTCTCTCATGACAGCTAACCCAAAGTTACTCACATTATCACTGTGTCATTAAATCATTGTGCCTGCAAAATAAAAGCGTGAGAATTATTTTTGGCATCAATGCTCTATATTGAGTTGAATTGAGACCTTTCTTCTGTCTTTCTGAAAGACATTCAAAAGAGTCTGTGGCTTGCTTAATACATCTCTGAAATAGCCGTCGGGACAATGCACGCAATATGGCGAAGACTATGAAGGAATGTGGGGTTGCCATCTTGGGCTATGTGGCACACTTTACAGCTTGCTGTTAAAGAGACTGTACTGAGCCAAAGAATTATAACTGGTGATCTAGCCAGTTGATAAGTGTTGGTTTCAAACATTAAGAATTTTATGCCCCACTAAGAACAACAAAATAAAATGGGCATGTGTCTGTGATGATAATTATATAAACTCTGTGATAAACTCATTCAGTGTCTAGTATATGCAAACTGCATACCACAAGAGTGCACCGCTCTGAGTGGTTGTTTGTCAGTGTGTGGCCCTGCAGTGGGCTGGCGACTTGTCCAGGGTGTACCTTGCCTTTTGCCCAATGTCAGCTGGGGTAGGCTCCAGCCCCCGCGAACCTGTATGCAAGATAAGCGATTGATGATGGATGGACACCAAATACCCTAATTTTACATGTATCAGAATAAACTACAAAAACCAAGAGCCACGCCATGTATCAAAATAAACTACTGTATTTTGCACAAATATTAGAAACACTTTTCCAAGGTAACATGAAATCAGTTCGCAAACCTATCTATCGGCCTATTTAAACTATCCCTTCACCAGAACACTGTCCCGGTTGATTAAGTGGACAGTGTTTAAGAGCAACAGGTTTTCTCTGCCTAATCATTCAATAAATCTGACACATACAACAGTTAACATATCAAAAATTCACATAGCCGTGTAATAACGTTTTAAAGTAATGTTCACCTAGCAGTTTGCTAATGACTCATATTCGTATCCTAATTTAGTTAGGCTACTTGGATGAGTTGACAACCTGTAGTTTACTGGCTTAATGTTGAACTCTGAAATGCTTTATTACTTTTTTCGTGCATTACCAGTGAAAACTCACTTAAACATAGGCTGAAAGTAGCAAGTGTGTAAGGCAACAATCCCATTTCTCAATTCTTCTATACACTTTCCCAGAGTCAGGGATTTAGTATGCATATTGTTGGGTGTATGATTAAACACAGATGTAATGCATTTGGATTACTCTCTTTTCAAACGGGCGAATCCAAATCCATCCCGTCTGTGTGTGTGTGTGTGTCCCCTTCGATCAGTGACGTCACTACTCGGGAGGAATGTGAACGAAAAATAACCACGCATGCATTTGAAACATTTGTTTTTTACGTATCACATCTGAAGTATTTTGTTTACTAACTAATAATCAAGATGTTGCCAGCAAAAAACAAGAGTGAGTAAGTTTCTCAGGGCTTCCAGCGGAATTTGAGGACCTTATCCTATCAGCGATAAAGGCCGTCCCTCAGACATCTCGTGATGCTTTGCGGTAGAGCTTTGATAAAAATTACTGAAAAACCTTCTATTTGGATGAAATACAAAATATACTTTGTAATTTACGTTTTCTTAAATGTTTCTGGTTAGAATATAGCCTAATATGTTTTCATCGGTAATTATCATTCCTATGGCAGTTTACTATTGAAGTTTGATGGAGGTGGTGACCGGAGGAAAGCAAAGATAAGCATTTGCATACAACTCTTACAGTTGACTCTAAACTATTCAGTTAAAGCGCAGTCATTACATTGTCAGGAAACATGTACTGCAGTTGAACTTTCGGAAACTCAGATAAATCGGTTGTTTTAGATGTGTTGTGTCAGCTCAGATTTGTTGTTGCAGTACTGTGGCCCTATGACGGGCATTGCTAAATAATAAAACCCAGAAAACAGCGCTGGGCACATGAAGCTTTCTGAAACTTCTGAGCAATAATGCTTAAGGTGTTTTATAGAACTAGACATGTGATTGCACTGCTGTGGCCAAAATGGCGGGCGGTGTGAAAAGATAACCCCAGAAAATGGAAAGAAAGGAAGGCTGGCCTTTTTTTACTACTGCCGCTACAATTACCCAAAGTGACATATCCACAATGTGTGTTTTGTCCAACCAACAGTCCAAACCTAAAATAATTATTAAGTATATTTTGTCAGACCAGGACTGAAAAAAAACATATCAAGGCCTCCATTTATCACATACTTAATCCGGACAGTGTTACAGAAACTGTTGTCATACATTGGCTCGGGGTTTGAGTTTCCTCATCTCTTCCAAGGAGCGTAAACAATTAGCATCAGTTTAAAAAACAGACAAGTAAAATGACCTAAGTTTATCTGAGTTGTTTCAGCTTTTCTGTCCCAGTTTCTGAGTCTGTTCTTTGATATAGCCTCATTATTTTGCTGTCATGTAATTTCTTCCACAATTTCATCTCCAGGATGTAGTCATGGTTGGCGTAGAAAATGACATTGGTTTTAATATTCTTCTCAACATAGTAGTTGGAGTATTTCTTGTAGTCCTCAGTCATGAATCCATATGCGTTCACCTGAGAATGACAAAAACAGAACAGGTGAACTCACACCAAGAAAAGATTTGTTAAAAGTAGGGCTGTCTTTGTGAAGTAATTTCCACTGCAGCAATATGATAAAATGGACAGACTAAAAGTCACAAACAGATATTACAACTTGTAAACACATAACACAATCTACAAATAGATTAAACATCCGCAAACAAAGTTCTCATGATCCACAAATATAAAGCATGATATACAAAAAGATTAAAAATCTACAAATAAACACATCATGATTCACAAATAGAAATCAGTGACTTGTACTTGAAAACCAGAATTTGAATGAATGTAAAGCGATTTGTTTGCAGGTGAATTTCATGTTCTGTTTGTAGATTGTGTCACATTTGTTTTCAGAATTTTGACACTAACAATGCCATAATTGTTGAAAATGAATAGATTTAAATTAGATAGAAATAGACTTAAAATCTGCAAACAAACACATTTCCCTGAATGTTGAACAATTCATTTTAGAAATGATAAACTATACCAATTAAGAGTTAAAATCTGTAACTGTATACTGCATACTTCATGTTTATAGAGGCATGGATACCTTTAGATGGCTAATATTAACTTACAGTGTCACAGGTGTGCAGAGCCAGGAAGAGAGTGAATGCTCCATTGGTTGGTCTGACTATCGCCCAGTGTGAACCATTCAGATGAGGAGACTTTAAGAACCTGTGGGCAATGAACAATACCAATGTCTTTGGCATAGAAGACAATATAAACTACACACTCCAATGTGACTATAGACATTACAAAGTTCCTTGACATTTTCATATTTGACATCTGAGTACAAATAGCTAGATGTTTATTATGTAAATAAACAAAACAGTTTTAAAATCCATCTGTTTACATGTATATTACATGTATGTATAGGGGTGGTGATGGGTCAGTGGATAAGACACATGCCTTTGGTGTGAGAGACCCGGGTTCAAACATCCACCAATGTGTCCCTGCGCAAGACACTTAACCCCTAGTTGCTCCAGAGGCATGCGACCTCTGACATAAATAGTAATTGTATGTCGCTTTGGATAAAAACATCAGCTAAATTAGTAAATGTACATTATTGATTGATACATTTATTTCAAACATGTTGAAAAAACAAACGACAAACAATTTAAAATAAGCATACATTCAAAATAACACACAAAAAACAAAAAGAACAATTTATGATTGCCAAGAAAAGAAAACTTCTATTGACATGCCAAATATTTTCAGTCCACACTCCTGTGTGTGTGTGTGTGTGTGTGTGTGTATTTGTGTTTCACTCTTGCACATCTGCTGCCTAAAGAGGAAGTAAATAAACCAGTGCTACCTATACTTGTATTATTTTCCCTGAGCATATTAAATAAATATTATATAATTGTTCCACCAATATATTTTCTCTTTTATAAATAATTGCCGAAAATGAGTTGGCCCCGATACAATCACTGCCCCCCACGAGTCGCAAATGCATAATACTTAATACTTCTACTACATAATACTTCTGAGTAATGAGTGTGCACACTGAGGTTCTGAGTAGGCTATAGTAAAACGTTCAGTACAAGTCTATGCACATTTTTATTATTAATTATTAGTCTGGCTCACAGGCTGTTGGTATAAGCCGGTCATTGGCCGACTATTTCAGTTAGCATTCTCCTTCCCTTCCACTATCTGCTTGTCCCTGCCCACCTGCTAAAACAAAGTACAAAAAAAAGTCATTATCATTATAAACCATACAAAGTAAAAAAAGTAGTAGGATTGTGAAAGGAGGCTGACCTGTTCCGCACGTATCTGAGGAAATCCTGGTGCAGAACATAGAAGCGGCTCTCATTGTACTGCCCGCCATAGAACGTCCACGGCCTGGAGGGTTAAAATATAAAAGTCAGCAGGGTTAACGAAACGACATGCTGAAAAGTGCAAAATTACTACAGTTACACTGTGTTTCTGAGTTACTTGTGTTAATCTGGTGCTGTTATTGTTGGCAGCTGTTATGGTGGATGTCTGCCACTTTGCATCTTAACAGCAATCAACATATCGACAAGGAATTTCTCATTTCTCAGTTTGTACATCCTCGATTCCATTCCCTGCCTCCTCGAAAGGAATTGAGGAGAGAGGATTCGAGGCAACAGGCATTTAACAAAATGAGACATGGCTTCAGAATCATCGTTTTAAAGCGTCAGTTAAATATGAATATGTGCAATAAATGTCCATTGTTTTATTATAGCCTGTATTTTATGATCTTTGTCAATGAGCTTAACAGCATTCATGACAACGTTATGTTTTATTTACTTAGCTACTTTCGTTTTTTATTTACTTTTACTTCAATTTACAACGTGGTATATAACAACTGTGGTGGCGTCTTAGTAACATTACATAAACTGGACATTACGAGCCAACATGTGAGATGCATCTTAGGAATTGAGACGTCCTTGAGACGCTGAGATAGATTTCTGGGTCACAGGCATAAGGACGGAGGAGAGAGGAGACACAAAATAGATTAATAGGAAGAGCCCGGTATGTTTTCCTTATTCCAGTTGCATAAAGCTTAGTGCAGCGAGGGAGAGATGACCTTGCATGCAGATGAACATGCATGTGGAATTCATTTCAATATAAAATATTTATATTTCTCACCTTTTCCCTGATGGTCTGTTGCAAATTTTGTTGCTAGTTGCTTTTTTTAAATAAAGTTGTTAAAAAATTTTAAACACAAACCTGCAGGGAAGATGTTACAAAGCTTATTCTTGAACTCATAAACACTTGATGAATAACTTTTATTGCCTAATTCACAAAAAGACACTGGGTTGTTGTGTTTCACAAGTACACTGCATGAGTTTTCTGCCCAGCCACAAAGCAGTATCTGGTGAATGGTTAACATGACTTATGACCTCCATAAAATTTAAGAACTGATACCTGCTTGCCTTCTTTCAATAATTAAAATGTAAAGTCACTTCAAAAATAAATGTTCACCTGCATCGGATATTACACTTGGCGACACATTTCAATTCAATTCGATTTTATTTATATAGCGCCAAATCACAACAACAGTTATCTCACAGCGCTTTTCATAAAAGAGCAGGTCTAGACCGTACTCTTTGATGCTATTTACAGAAGCCCAACAGTTCCCACCAAGAGCAGCATTAGGCGACAGAGGCAAGGAAAAACCTCCTTTTAAGAGGCAGAAACCTCGAGCAGAACCGTGACTCAGGGTGGGCGGCCATCTGCCTCGACCGGTTGGGGGTGAGAGAGAGAGAGAGAGAGAGAGAGAGAGAGAGAGAGAGAGAGAGAGAGAGAGAGAGAGAGAGAGAGAGAGAGAGGGGGCAGCAGAGGAACAGAGAGAAAAAGAGAGGGATGGAAGGAGAGAGGGAGGCAGCCTACACAATATGCACACACAGGTACAGACAGTAAAGGGGATGTTGCTATAGACTAAATGAAAAATGGTACAGATATTTATAGTAGTGTTAATGATAATAATCATAATGTTAATGATTATAACAACAACAATAACAATAAGACTAGCAACAATAGTCTAGAGTGTCGAGCAGAAACACGGGGGCAACAGGTGACCTGCAGCCACAGATCCAGACTCCACAGCTCCAGAGCCAGAAACACCTGCAGGAAGTAATAGGAGGTGAGAGGAGAGGGACGAGAAAGCACAAGACTACCGGAAAGGGGAGAAGTTGTGTTAGTAACATGCAATAATGGGATGAGGTTGCATACAGAGGGAGAGAAAGTAGAGGAGAGAGGAGCTCAGTGCATCATGGGAAATCCTCCGTCAGTCTAGGCCTATAGCAGCATAACTAAGGGATGGTTCAGGACTGGCCAACATTTCCAGGCCCAATCCAAAATGTTCCAGCACTGGATAAACTGTGTGTGTGTGTGTGTGTGTGCGCGTGTCACCTTTCACTAATAGTATATTGAGTTGCTAATCACCGATGGTTGCGATATGACCCAGCAGAGATCCTTTCTCCTTTGAGAAGACCCTGGAGCCAGTTGAAATCCCTCATCCCCTCAGGAATCAGCACGTATTTTATACCCTGCCAAAAGGAAGGTACACAGTAGATTTAATCACCATTTTACAACAGGGTTGTAAAATGAAATGCAGTTTGCAGCTTCTTTCTTCTGCAAAGCAGACAGTATATACAAAAACTATAAAATGGTAAACAGAAATAAACTATAATGCATAGAGAAGGGCTGAGGATGAATTGGAATTTGAGTCTCATAGCCTGGGGGAAAAATCTGCTCTGCAGTCTGGTGGTGCGACAGCAGATACTTCTACATCTCTTTCCAGACGGCAGCAGGGTGGACAGGCTGTGGCTCCGATCCTGGATCCTGCACATCACATACCAATTCCATTCAGGATGCCTTCTATTGTCTTTTTGCCTTCTTTTGTTCCCTGAAATACAACCATTTCTGAGCTTTCTTCACCAGCCTGGAGATGTGAGTTGACCATGTCAGGTTCTCTGTGATGCTGAATCCCAGGAACCTAAAACTGTTCACCTGCTCCAGCACTGCTCCACTGATGTAGACAGTAGTGTGTATATTTATCTCCTTTTCCCTAAAATCAACCATCAGTTTGTTGGTTCTGCTGATGTTGAGCAGTAGGCTGTTCAGTGTGCACCACACTGTAAGATTATTCATTATGATGAAGTCTCATCATTGTTTGAAATACAATGATGGTGGTAGCGTTGGGGTGGAGGAGGTGTGTCCAACAGTCCAAACTGTCTGAGGTCTATTTGTGAGGAAGTTCAGTATCCAGTTGCAGAGTCTGGTACTTAAACCCAGAGTGTTGAGTTTGCTGATAAGTTTCATGGGAGACATTGTGTTGAATGCTGGTCTGAAATCCACAAACAGCATTCTGATGTAGGTGTTATTTCTCCCAGGGTGTGTGAAGACTGATTAGAGGGCAGTGGAGATGGCAGAACCAGTTTCTCAAAGCACTTCATCAGAATGGGGGTGCTACAGCACGGTAGTCATTCAGACTAAACACTGCAGACTTTTTAGATACAGCAATGATGGTGGCTGTCTTGAAGCAGGTGGTAGTAGACTTTACAACTGACTTTGTTGTTGAGCATAAAAGGTCTTATCTGGTAATGTGACCTCACACATGATAGGGGAACTCCTACTTTTGTAGCCTGTGATGTTTTTGTTTGCCTGCCACATATCTTTGGTTGGAACCAAGGACCTTTTGATTAGTGGACAACTGACTCTATCACTAGTGGTTCTCTACCTCTAAACCACATCCGCCACATTACATTGTAACACTCTTGTCATTGGAGTTTGAGTACCTCATCATGAGGTGCAGATGTGTATCCGTACTTCTTGAAAAAATACGGCGACATAGTGATGGAGTGGGCCGTGTGAACGTACACTGATGTTCTGTTTCCTACGTCTTCCTCGTAGCCTTTGATGGCTGCACCGTTCATCCTACCACACAAACAGATGGAAATGTGAGAGTGGCATTATGTACTCATACTATTGCCTCATGAGATTCATGAGAAACCATATCTAAATATTGACTCGGCAAATAAAGTGAATGACCAGTGCTCCTGATAGCCGTCACCTCAGCAATGACACAGGGATATATGATCTTTAAAATGTCTTCCATGAATTACCTTTTGAATTGTTTTGAAACCTTATGGCCCGCCAGGTCACTAAGTTGTTTTCCTCTTTCTTACCGGAAAACGTAATTGTGAGCATCGATCTCTTTCCCCATTTTAGAGCCATTGAGGATCCCACCAGTGGCCACCACAGCACATCTCACACACCCGCCACTGCCTGGCTTTGGAAGGAGCAGTGGCTCTTTTGGCTTTGGGATCAACTTCAGCGAAGTCATCACATCTGTAAACCAAAAAACACAAAATGCACATAGAAGCTGGGGAAAAAAACTGGTTTATACAAGCAAAACATTATTACTAATGGCTTGCTAGGTGGTTGCTTAACGTTGCCTACCGTTATACTTGTACTCCATAAAACCAAAAGGATTATTAAAATGTGATATTCTGTTCCACTCGCTCATGTTGATGCTGTCTTTGTGCAGAAACAAACGTATGTTGGGAAGGAAAGCCTTCTTGAAGCTCTCATCTTTAGAGTTTCGCAGAGACTCAGCACATGTCTGAGAATGAAAGATAAAATATTCAATCTAACAGAAAGAAAAACATATAAAAATGTGATTTCCACCTTGTTCATCTAGCTGAAACCATTGATTTTATCAAGGCCCCACACAGCTGAAGAAACAGCAGGTAAAATCAGGTGACAGAGAAGTCAAACAGATGAGCACAGATGATTTATGCCATTAACCCTTTCATTTGTCCAGCAGTTAGGAAACAACTTGGTCATTAGAAGCTGCAGCATTCATTAACGCACACACAGTAACATACACTGTAGCCTGCCAAACTGGACAACTTTCTGCTAATCTTTTCCTTTGCTCCACTGACTTTCACCTTCACTTACTGCCGCTCACGCTCTTTCTCTCATGACAGCTAACCCAAAGTTACTCACATTATCACTGTGTCATTAAATCATTGTGCCTGCAAAATAAAAGCGTGAGAATTATTTTTGGCATCAATGCTCTATATTGAGTTGAATTGAGACCTTTCTTCTGTCTTTCTGAAAGACATTCAAAAGAGTCTGTGGCTTGCTTAATACATCTCTGAAATAGCCGTCAGGACGATGCACGCAATATGGCGAAGACTATGAAGGAATGTGGGGTTGCCATCTTGGGCTATGTGGCACACATTACAGCTTGCTGTTAAAGAGACTGTACTGAGCCAAAGAATTATAACTGGTGATCTAGCCAGTTGATAAGTGTTGGTTTCAAACATTAAGAATTTTATGCCCCACTAAGAACAACAAAATAAAATGGGCATGTGTCTGCGATGATAATTATATAAACTCCACTCCGACCATATACAATATGGGAAGATCAGAGAACAAGTGCCATCAAGTTTACTGATATTTATTTATTCTGAAATTAGGGTCACATTTCTCATCAGGCACTAGAGATTACACCTATATGGATAAAATGGAAGAAAAGGGAGGAGTGTGATACAACAGAGATGGATTAAGTAGGCTAGGTGGGGTTTTTTGATTCTTGCATCAGTAACCCTGTCTGTATTTTTTAACAGTGCCTGAGAAGTTTTGGGTTTTGTAGCAAGTTTTCTTTTTTTGATTTGGGAATATTAAAGATGACATTTCGAGACCATGTTGTCACAGACTCCCTCTAGCTTTTTGTTGTTTTTTCCTAAATTTAGCACATGCACATTTTAACATTTCTGTTTTCATCCTGACTCCAGATTCTGTTCTGTTTTCACATTTGTTGCAATGGGTGGTGATGATAAACTTGTGTGTTTTCCCAAACCAGGGGACTGTCAAAGTGACACAATGTCACTATTTATTTTTTCATCAGAAAACGATCATATGTTTTTCCAAATGATAAGGTGCATTTTGTTATAAAATTGGTGCATTAATTTGGATCATGAACAAGGTACAGGAAATCTAGGGTTTTCCAAAACAAAATACTAAATTAATTTTTTTCATGGATTAAATTTTTGTTGTGTGGAGATCTCCCAGCCCTTATACGACATCTCACATGGGGGTAAAACATCTGGCTATTGACTGATTTTTTTGTTTTACTTTGACTGCTAAGGCAGACACACATTTTACTGACGCCTCGACTGACTTTTGTGAGTTCATTAACTTGAAGCAGGATTCTGCCTGACACAGCTAAATCTTTTTAACTTTGACTTTGTTTCTTGCTTTGTAGATGGTGTCAGCACAGGCAACTAAATCATTTGTATTAACCCATGGGCAGGACATCACAGTATATACTTGAGCAAAGTGGATGAAAACCATGGGGTTTTGATGCAGATAAATTTATGGATAATTCTATCAAGAAAAAAAGTTGGTATTCTGTTATCAGGGGGATAAAAAGTAGGTTGTATGGTCCTCACACTACTGTCTTAGACATTGCCTCCAGCAAATTGGCATTGTTTATTCCAGCTGGAAGTAAGGCATTGGCCAGTTGTTAGTTCAGTCCAAAGTTTTGCTGTTCAATTGCTATTTATGTCAGAGGTCACACGCCTCTGGAGCAACAAGGGGTTATGTGTCTTGCTCAGGGACACATTGGTGTATGCGTCACAGTGGGAATTTTTCACATCATGTGACATGTGACTTATGTGACAAGACATGTGTCTTATCCACTGTTCCATCACCACCCCACATATATGGATGATAACATGCGAAAACGGTGTAAAATCTGTTACCAAACATGGTGTAAGGCGACTAAGGGAAAGCATTATCACACAATAGATCAGACAAAAATTGATCTATCTTGTGTAAATTGATTTTGCAATCAGATGGCCACAGAACCTCTATCTGTTTATGTTCAAATGGTATGGGTCAGTTTATGGGAGTTTCACATTGTTCAAACCAGCTCTTACCCTATTAACATTACTTTGAAAGTTGGAGAAGCCTTCCTGTTCTTACCGCCAGGATGGTCTGATTGTTGTTTTTTTTTGTTAAGCTTACCATTCTTAACTTAGTAGTACTTCCCATTACTTTAAAACAACATTCAGAACACGGCCACATTCAAAAGCAGTACATGGCTCAGTCTTCCAACCTTGTATCATACCATTGTTATATTTCCTTAGGTGAAAAATGGGGCATTGGCATATTTCCTTGTTACGGGGTCACATTTCTGGCTGATCACATTGATAATATCACTTATTCAATGTCTGCTTTTGCTAATGAAACTATAAAGGGTTTCCAATACTTTGCAACAATTGACAAGTCTTATTGATTAACTCTGCTAAAACATGAGATGGCTTTGAATTATATTTTGGCTAAAACTGGAGGTTTATGTGTGTTACAATTATTACAATTATTTAAAAAAAAATGTATTATTTAATTATTTGACAAAATTCTAACTCGGCAGGTTTTAGTTTCAACAAATGGTTAAATGATCAGTTTGGCCCCGGGGTGCTATGATTATCCATGCATTAATTCCTATTCTAATTGTTTTTGATATCATTTTTTGTTTCTGTACCTGTGCCATCACCTGTATGTGAGCTTTACTGTACAAATGTTAGGACCTTGGTTTTATGCTGTTGTTTTTCCTGGGTTTAGTCTTTCTTGGTTTCGGCTTTTGTGTTTTTCTTTGTAGCCTTGTTTCTTTTTTCATGTTTAGTTCTGTCAGTATCTAAGTTTTTCAGTCCTGTATTTTGGTTTTGTGTCTTGGTTCACGTCTTTGTATTTATTCCTTGTTCTGTGTTTGTATTATTTTGGTGTTGTCTGCTTTGTGTTCTGTTTTATCCTAGTGTTAGTCTGTCTCTTGTTTGATTGTAGTTTATTTGTATTATTTAGTCTGTTTTGGGTTGATTTGTGTTCTCTGTTTGGTGATTTATTATTTGACTGTGTTTAGTCTTGCATGCTTGTTTCCTGTCATGTTTAGTTTGCCTTGTGATGTTCAGTTGTGTTTATGCATTGTCTGGTTTTGTCTGCTCCCCTCTGCCTGCCTGTGTGTCTGTGTCTGTTTGTCTCCACCTGGTCTTGGTCCCGCCCTGCTTGTCATCTGATGTTTAATTGTTACTTGTTCTGTTCAGGCTTTGTTACATCCTCATCAAGTGTTGAGTGTTCTGCCCCGTGCTCTGTTCTCCGTGCTTGGATTATTTGTGTTTTGAATCATTTCTCTACCTGTTTGGATTATTACTTTGCCTTTTTGGGATTCAGCTTTGTTTGGACTCATGCCTTGTGTTTCCACGTAAGCCTGTGTTTATTCACGTAAATAAATCTTTTGATGAATGCATCCCCTGCCTGTCTCTGCACTTGGGTCCACACCTCTGCTACTTGCATTTGCACTCCCACCTTATGACAGTAGGATGTAACCAAGAATGTGAAGTGTTTGCTCCACATGTGATTACCATTTGCTGTTGTGGCTTGTGCTTGAGAGTATTTAAGGAGAAAGACGCTGCATGTCAGGAGAGAACCTTTACTGTCTCTTTGGACAGCAGTATAAAGGGTAGATTCATCACATCTCTGACTCCGTAATTCTTCTGTGGGAGAAATTTTCTTTCACGCATCTTATGTCAGTGTTTATTTCGCTGGCCATATGCTCATAAGTATTCCATTCAAATCTACAGACTAAGCATCCACAGACTTTTAGTTCTATATAAGCCTTTATCTTTTGTACTGAGGGATGCAGTTTAGTTTTTGTTTCAAATGACTTGTTACATTGAAATGTCTGATTTAACATCTTATGTCTGTGAATTTAATTTATTTTTCTAGCCATATGCTTTTTATTATTCTGTTTATATATTCAGTTCAGTTCTATAATACAATGTACTTTTTTGTTTCAATGTACTTGTGTTTAGGACTTTGAGATGTATGATTTGACATCTTATGTCAGTCAATTTGATTTTGAATACAAAACATTTTATTAGGCTTTATTTGTTATGAAAGTCATACTTTTAAAATGCTATTAAAATATTTAAAGAGTCAAAACTGTCATTTATTTTGTTAACAAAAGTGCATTAGAGTCAGTTAGATTTGGTTAGGCCAGAGTTATGGAATATTAAATTCTAAATCTTGCTGCACATGACATCTTAGCCTTTCTTATGTGTAAACATTGTATTTTATTAACTTCTTTTTAATTAAAAATCAATATTGTGCATCACTGGTTTCAACACATTTGTTTCCAACATATATCAAACCTGCGTGATGATGATAACTCAATTTTCAAGCTGTTTCAACAATTCACTACAACATCAACAGCAACACACCCGCCACGTTTGAAGTAGACTGGATGAACGTTTCCTGACATAATCGAGACACACATGCACACAGATATTCCTGTCTTTAATAGAGAGATGATAGTGGTCATGAACTTTTAGCAGCTTACTTTGTGAAAGCTCTAAAGGGAAAGCAAATGCCACACCAAAGATAGACATCAGCTAGGTTCATCCACTTCCACAAAGTTAATACATTTATATTTTTTTGCTCTGTCATAACTTGCTTACTGTCTGTCTGGGTGGAGCATCTTGGTTATAAACATCCTCAAAATCCCACTGAGGAAGCTTCTTGAAGGAGTTTCTTGAGAGGATAGGCATGGGAGTCTCAGCCACAGCGCCACGTGTAGAGGCTTCCATTTGATCGGTTACTGGGTTTGTTTTTGTGAAATCTGCAATTTTTGCTTTATGTGTTGTTGTAAACACAGCAGGCAGGGTGGAGTTTCCTCTTTTATGCCAGAATACAATATAACTTTTCAACAATCTGTCTTCATCTCTGTTATTTCCTGAGAAAGCAGTCCAACTGAGTTGGTAATTTGACAAAAGAGCAATAGAGGCAACATCGGAGAATTAGCGAGATACACTTTAACAACAATACTGTACCTGGAAATTTGCTGAAATTGATTTCTTTGGAGAAAATAACTATTTAGCAAATCTTTGTGTTAAATTCCTTTCTTTATCCTTAATGTTTCTCTAGACTAAATAGAAATACAACTTACCTGCTGGTTGTTGATAAATATTCCCATGATAACATTAGAAGTACACTGGCAACTGCCATCAGAAACAGCAAAGAAAAAATCTTTTTGACCGCCATCCCTGAGAACTGCAGGTAGTACGACTGTTCAACTACTGCTTGCTTTCTCTTCTGGATGTTGTGTTCAGGTGGAGACGTCACCTTATATCTAAAGTAATGGGGCAGGGCTACTGCTTGGTTTACTAATACAGATACACAATTAAACGGGAACCACACACACTATTACAGAGGTACATGATATGGTTTATTACATGACAGTTGGGGAGTAGCTTTACAGGATTTGTACATGTTACAGATTAAACGAAGATACAATTGAGTTAAAAAAGTTATGTAATAAATTAAAAGCTTTTCTTCTTTTATTATAAAACTATTTGGAACAATAACCCTGTATGCCTTTCAGTCCTTATTTACATTATGTCAGCTAGACAGTCCTGTTGTGGACTGGAAAAGATCCAGCTGCTTTGGTTTAGTCTTCATGTGGACGTGTCAGCAACAAAACAACACAATAAAACAAGTATGTCATATTAAAACACAAATGAAATTGGAAGTTGAGTGAACAGTACAGCTGCTGTTTAATACTGTGAACAAGTATTTGGTGTACTGGAATTGTCCTTCAGTAGAGCTCACAGGTTAAAGAGCACAATCAGAAGCTGGATCGCAGCACAAAGAGTCAGAGAGGAGTCTCAGATGGAGTAGAGTCTGAGCTGCTCCTCCATGTCTCCCTCGGACAGCTCCCCAAACGTCTCCCTGTTGTCTTTCAGCAGCTGAAAGATGGCGGCCAGCTGCTCACGTTGCACCCTGGGAAAACAAATGTCAAAGAATTATTGAGAGGTGAAAGAACCAAACAAAATCCAACAGATCAACAGTGATCACTTGTGAAAACGTTACGTTCATCTGGTAAAATTCCTCCTGACAAACAGCTGTACTGAAAATATATGTAAACAAAACCCAGGAAAAATATAAATCAGTAGTTATAAATAATCCCCCTACTGAGCTTTTCCAATCAAAATAAGGTACTATGTTTACAAATTAAAAGATGTTGGTACACATCATCTTATTCAATATAAAAGGATGAACAAATAAGTACATATATAAATAAAATAGAGAATTTAAAAAGGAATAGTTCAACATTTCAGGAAATATGCTTATTTGCTTTCTGGCAGACAGTTTGATAGATTGATCTCATGCCTGTAATGTAAATATATAGCTGTCACCTGCAGACATTTAGCTTAGCTTAGCATAAAGACTGGACCCGGGAGGAAACAGCAAGTCTGGCTCTGTTCAGTTACAAAATCCATCTTCCAGCACTTTACAGTTTAAACAAATTTAAAATGAAACAATTTTGTTACATTTGGTCAGGTGACCTGTTTACCCCTGTTTCCAGTCTTTGTGCTAAATTAAGCTAACTGGCAGCAGCTTCACATTTAATGTAGATATTGTAGAGTGGTATGAATCTTGTCATTTTATCTTGTAAAGCAAACAAGCACATTTCTCAAAATGTCAAAATATTACTTTAAATGTGGATAGATGAGCCCAATACAGTGTTCACCTGATGAAGGTCTCTGGGAAAAAAGTCATTAATAAAGTGAGGACAAGTGATCGAGAGTCTGAAGGAGATTTTGGCCTGACACAGACTTTCTGGTACATGACCAGCTTAGAAAAACATTATTTTTTGCACAAATCACCATCTTCAGCGTAACTGTCACACTACTACTAAAAGGTAAGGGAGACACAGGAGGGACTGACATGACAAAGATTAACTTTTCAGATACTTGGAGACTTGACAAGTAAAGGTCAATCAGTTACCCCTGTGCAGAAAAACAAGCAATAAATGCTCATAAAAGATGCAGCACTAGACCATCCTTAACCTCGTGTAAGTGAAAGATCTTATCAGTAATTTATTAATTAATGAATTATTATTAAACACAAGTAAAACAGGTCCTCTATCAGTGCTGCCACCTTAAAAAACCTCTGACATAATTATAATCCCAGCTGTCTATCCTCCTGACATCAGTTATCACATATTACAAAGCATAAACCTCCACTTTCCCCCTCACCCTCTCTACAAGTAGTTTTAGAAGTGACTGCCCTGTCAGCACAGGTCCTAGTGTTGCGTTACACAGACTCCTCCTTGTGGCAGAACAAAGGTGAGTCCTCAGAGGATTAACAATCCCCTGTCAGAGGTGACGACCGGAGGCACAATCAACACCTACAGTGACACTTGCTCAGAGTCAGACATCTCATGTGGATAATAGGGGCAGCGGGAGATGGGCATGTGGGATCAGGGCCCGTATTTATCAAGCATCTCACAATTACTCATAAGAACACTGCTGACTTTAAGTTTTAAAAAATTCTTGGCTCAGAGCTGCGCTTAAATGTTAGTTATCAAGCATCTCAGTCCTAATTTACGTGAAGTGTAGGAATAAATCTGAAGTGTCAGTCTGATTCACGACAATTTGCTGTGCCGCACACGGGATTTTGGATGATGACATAGGCAAGGACCAATCACTGAATAGATTTCCTTATTTAAGAATATTCTCAGATAAATTCACATTGCGCAGTGAAATTCCTAAGAGGAGTTTACATGCAACACATATATGACAATAGAAGAATTTTAAAGCGAATACATTATGATATACACATTGGAAATAAAACATTAAAAAAGTTGATCTTTATATGTGTGCCAATTGTGCCTACAGCTCCTGAGAAGCCGGTTATTTTCAAGAATTGCGTTTACTTCTGTTGGATTACGAGGGGTGTCGATGAAACGCATGACAGTGTGTGGAGCTGTAAGTGCCATAATTGCTTCCATGACAATTCAGCTTATTGAAGGTTGCGGTGTCCTCAAATCATTAGGATTGCATTGCTACATTTGTCCTGTGGCAAAGAAACGAAATGCCATCACCACCTTCAGTTCAGCTGAAAAACACATTGGTGCGTAAGGTGCCTCACAGTAACGTTTGGACAGAGCAGGCATCATTTTTGTCAGAGGGTTGCACCATCACAAGACCCTACTGGCAGCTCCTAACCACTTGAAACACCTCTAGAGCTGTCTTAAATAACTGGGAGAGTAAGAGTGATTCTTAGCTTTAAGAAATTTGATTACTTGCTTTTATACTTAAGTTTGAAAGTAAATTTCATGAATTCTCAGCACTTAAGACTAAAATGGCACTTTAAGAAGCTTGATAAATACTGGCCCAGATGTATAAAGGGCTGATGAGGCCAAAATCACTACTAAAGGGGGGAACTGAGAAAAACGGCATCGGAATAGTGTTCACAGTGACCAGAAAGTGACTCCCCTGAGATAAACGGGTGAGGACAAGTCATACTTTACCACATATTTGCTCCTTTTTCAGGCTTACAGACAGTTACAGTCTGTGTTGAAGTGTATCCTGCAACGATAAAAGCATGTGGATATGTAGATGCATTACAGTAAAAAAGAAAACCTGATTGGTTTCTTTAAGTCTCGTGTTGTTCATCCTTCAGCTAATGCCTGGCAGAGACTCAATGTCGCCTTACTCAGTCTAGCCTAAAGAGGACGGGTGATACAGCGGCTAAACGTGGAAGTCTCTGAGTGAAATGCCAACAACACACAAACACACGTGAAGACAGCGTAGGGAAGATTAGAGGGAGGACGAAAGACAGAGGGCAGAGCTGCTGCGTGGAAACAAGGGAACTTCATGTAAATATTGTGACAATCAGTCAAGATTCAGATTTTGGGAAAACAGAGGGGAATAGCGATCTGATTGGGAACCCAGTAACCACGAGCACGTTTGTCCAACTACAATTTACAATATTGTGACATATTTGGGTAGCACTTTTTCATAAAGCTCCCTTAACAAAGCCTTAATTAATGGCTTTATTAATTGTCAAAACATAATTTATTTATAAATGCATTTTACAGCAGTTATAAGCCATTAGGAACAACAACTTTTGGGTTGCCAGGTTGTAGAAAATCCTCCTCCAGCTTGACAATTTCCTTGTCTTGTCTTTTTTCCATCAATGATTAGTTCTTATTAATGGTTTATGTGCTCTTTTTAAAGGGTGCCTTATCAGAAATTGTCACCCGTCTTTGTAGTTTTCACTGACCTCTGCTCCTCCTCCAACTCCTCTTTGGACATCATTGTTTGCAAGTGGTGGGATCGCGCCTTTCCAGGGACGTACTTCAAGGAATTGTTGGATTCCACTTCATCTGATGAAACAGAACAAATGTTACATTAGACCACATTTAAAAAAAAACAATATAGTGTATATATTTCTAATATTTAACTCACAACTTTTTCAAAGTAGATAAAAGTGCTCACCGTTGATATCCGGGCTCTCTGTGGCTCCTTCAGTCTGGGGGTGAGAGAAAGCACACTTTAGGAGCTCCTTATCAGAGAGCGCAATGAATGACCTGCGGCCCCTCCCTGACGAGGCCTCGGGTGACCAGTCTAAGCTCATAGATGTGGAGGAGGAGTGCTCAACTGGTGTTGCCAGTTCTTCACTGTGAGGGTGGGGATGTGCCTCCTCCTGTCAGAGAATTAAGGGCTCAGGTGAGGGGTCTCAAAACCGTCATTTCTTTTAAAAACGGGTTTTCCCCAAAAACCTGAGCAATGAATGCATTTTAAGAATATCTGTGTGCATATCCTTGCAGGCAGGCCTGGATTATAAACTGATATTAGGAATTCCTCACCTCTAATGGATGCTGATCTGGCCTACTCTTGGCACAGGTGTCAGTGATGGAAAAGACAAGTTTCACACTTTGCTCCCTCGTGTGCTGATTTCACCACTCTCTCCCCATCTTGTTTTGTCCAACTTGGCCGACATCCAAGATATCCTCAAAATTAATTACCGACGCTCAAAACAGGCAAGTGATGGTCATGACAGCTACCTGCGTGGTGTGTGAAAGTGGCTCATCCTGACAGTTTTCTTTTGGGTGCCCTTTTCAAAACAAGAGTATGGCCATGTTGCTTCTATCTATTTATTGATACCAATTAAGTCTGAGAGACACAACAGAAGACAGTTATGCAAAGTTGATGCTGTAGAAGTCCTGTTACTGTTGCCCTCTCTGCTCCCAATGGCCATAATTTTAGTGAACGCCAACACATGTAAGAAAAATGTCGTCTACTAGAAATGTCCACAGAGGTGGAAAGCAACTTTAAACTACTTAGGTGTTTTGGTACAATTTTGATCTTGTACTATACTTGAGTAATTCCATTTTATGCTACTTTACTACGCTGGATTTCAAGGGCAAGTATTGTACATTTTACTAAACATTTATTTGACAGCCTTTGACAAACAGAGTCTGCAGCTAATGATTGATTTCAGTGATTAATCTAATAATCTTGTCTACAAAATAGAGAAAAAAGTCCACAGTGACATCTTCAAATGTCGTGCTCTGTCAGAACAGCCCACAACCCAATGACATTTAAAATGATAGAAAACTCAGAAAAGCTGAAAAAAATATTCACTTCATTTGAGAAGCTGGAAGCAGTGTTTTTTTTGCCATTTTTCCTTCAAGAATGGCTATTATCAAAATTCTTAATTTTCTGTGGATGGACTTATCAATGAATCAACTAATCGTTGCAGCTGCAGACAAAGAACACATATGATCAGCTTATAAAATACAGAACATTGTTACAGCTTAAACTATTAAACAGTCTGTAAAGCAGCTGCAACACTAAAATGCTGTCTGCATAAGTAATAATAATCCAATAATAACACTCATGTTGCAAATAAATACAAACAACAAATAATGTAAATATAGCCTAATTAAGAATGCACGACTTTTACTTATAACCGAGTACTTTATTGCAGTATTGCTACTTTTACATAAGGATTTCACCCTTGCTTAAGCCCAATTTTGAGGTAAAGGTAATTCACTTGAGAATTTTTCTCCAAATAGTGTACTTTAAACTGCAGTAATTCAGGTGTGTTGCACAGTCAGGTTTGTCCAATAAATTTAACATTTTAAACATAAAAAAAAAACATTCATTGTCAAATTATAACACCGGACCTTTACTGGTTTAAGAGTATTTCTTCCATTGTAGCTTTGCTGCTTTCACCTAAGTAAAGGATTTGAGTGCCTTTTCCACCTCAGACTGGACGTGTAAAGTCAGTAAGAGATTAAGAGATAATTAGAGAGAGAGAAAACAACCGGACCTCCCCCACTGTGCACACCGTGTAAATACAGACAACTTACTGAAAGCACTGATTTCACTACATCCCAGTGGTCGTGTGAACTCCCGCTGATCTCGCACCAGTCGTCCTCTGCCTTCTTCTTCTTCTTCTTGTCCGGTACATAACCGTTCAGCTTCGGCCCTTCTGACTGATCTAATCCCCCGTCTGAAGACTCTCCTCTGTGTCCGAAATAACGCCGTGCGTTTGCAAACTCGACCGTGGGCGAAGATCCGTTAAGTAGCGACGTTGCCACCACAATGGCGAGAAGCGTGAAAATAACAGCTGATAAGATAAAAGTTAGATCCATGGTTGGTGTTAGGCCTGCTGATGTGACTCCTCTGTCTTTTATCTGTCTGTTCTCTTGCATTCACGTATCCATCCCGCTGCCTTTAGCCTAATAATCCTCACCAAACATCAACGTTAACGAGCAGCAGTTACTGGATATGGTACAATCTCCTCTCCGAGCAGGACGTCACATCCTCCGGTTTCGCCCCGCCCCCGCCCCGTGTGTGCCGAGCAGCCCGGCGTTACATCCCCGGACCGCCCGACAGCTCAGGTGTGGCTGGCACGGCGCGCTGCAACGTGCTCGGCTCTCTGCTTTTTCACAGTTAATCCCATCAATGGCGAGTCGTACACTGAGGCCGGGAGATTAAAATGGTTTGTGACAGGACCCGTGTACTGTAGCTGCAGGCTGATAAAGCCAAGCAGGGTTTACAGAAAAGGTGCAGCAGGAGGAAGAGGTGTTCTCACCTTCCTGTCAGCAGGGATTTAATGTGGACGACAAACAACGAGCCTACCTTTTGCTGTATAGAAAGTAAATAATTAGCTCCGCCTTCACCAGCTGACTACATTAAGGTGATTTACATATCAATGCATCAATAATTAGAATCCTATCCACAATCAGATTAACTCAATGAAAATTATCAAACTGCAGTCCAATAGCTGAAAATCAGATCCACCGGATGCTCACAGGAACACACACACACACACACACACACACACATACGCATTCAGGTAAACCCCACCATAGATATCCCTTCAATATCTGGTTGTTTTGACTGTTGCAAATCAACGAGCATAACCATATTGGATTGGATGTTTTTGTGACACTCCCACCTGGTTAGTTTCTCTCATCTAAAGTATCTATAGATGGTTCCTCAATTGATTATCCTGAAAATGTCCCGTCACAAATAAGATTTTATCCACATGAACCATCCCTCAACCAAACCACTCAGTTAGGCCTTAATTACACCCTCTGATACATTTCTGGTGAATATCCTCCTTTATGCAGCCAGCATATAATGCCTGTGAGGTGAATTCTAGTTGCTTCTTGTGCAGAAAACACCATATTACAATACCTCCCCACCACAAAAAAAATAAACACATGAGCAACTTCTTTACGCCAAAAATGTTTATTTGCATTCACCTGAAGCAATTACAAGACAATTGAGAGGTTCACAGAGGAATGCAATACACAAAAAGTATTCATTAAGCAGCCTGGACTGCCCTTTAAACCCTTCGCTAAGTCACACTGGACCCAATTTCAAAAAGCGAGCAAAACCAGTTATCAACAGTGGATAAACCACAGAGGGGGAAAGAGAGAGGAGGGAGAATAAAGATAAAAAGGAAGGAGATAATCTGTACAGCACATGGGAGGGGGAAGGAGAGGTCACAAGACAGGAGAGGATGGTTGATCTGCCACACATGTGAGCTTACAAACCGGCAAACGGCAGCGGAGGGTCGAGCCCCGGAACAGCGCCGGGCACTCAGCACCGCAACACGCCACACCATGTCACCACCGCACTGCACCGCATCTTAACAGCTAACCAGCATTACTCAACTGCTACACAACTGCGCCTAGTGCACAAAAGATACACAAGAAAGAGGGTTAGAGTCATAGGAAAGCAACTTTAACTAGACAGAAAAAAAGATTTGACAGAAAAGAAAATGCTCTGCTGCCGGATTAGCAAGTCACAAATTAAGTGGCACTGCGACACTTTGATGTTTTGCTTTTTATGTCACTGTACAATAAGCCATTTTTCCAATGACAGTGGTTTAACATAGCTGTAAAGGCTTTGAACATCCAACATGAAACCCTTTTCTACATCAACTCTGCAAATAAAACTTTCATATCCATCTAGAAAGAGTATTAAACAAGGGATTTTATTAAAAGAAATTCTGTTAATTCAAAAAAAGAATTTATTAAAGTACAAATTTAATCAAATATGCAAAATATCCAATTTAAATGAGGAAAAAAAAACAAAAAACAAAAACGGAAGCCTTACAAATCCCTTTCAACACGACCAACTTCACAACAATGACCACATCGAAGTTACAGAATTTGTGCAGGTAAATTAAGTCAAATGAAACATTTAAAACATTTTAGACCAAGCTCCAATAACCTTTCAGTCTGCATTCAGTGGTAATAGGGGAGTCCACTTGCTCATTGTGAGACTCTTCCTGATGTCCTCAGCAAAAGGCTCGATCATCTGAGATCTGGAAGGAAAGACAGAACAGAGTTTGACAAGAGTAAAACCAAAAGGCTATTTTAACTCCTGCAGCTGATCTGGATATTTAAATGCAAAAATGGTCTGATCTTCTTTCCCCTGACTAACATTTATAAAACTGCTTTTCTTTGGGGGGCATCCATTGTTCTTTATTACACCTAACATTTTCTAGTCATTTTCACATTTGTTTACACACCTTTCTTGGCCCCCCTCTTCCCAAAAACTAGCTCCAACAAGACTCGGGCATATTTGAAAAACAAACCTCGGGGTGCGTTCCCTTTGTGAGAGGCGGAGGAACCCACAGGCACAGGTGGGAACAGTGCTCAGTGCATCTGCCTGTGATCCCTGTGAACGTACCTCACCACACCACATCATACACCAACTGACAGCCCGAACCACCGACATGACGACCTGCTCCTTAGCAATTGCCATCGCTCTCAGCAACAGGCAGGTCACATGGGCGGGTCACACACTAACTGCTCTCACATTGCCACACCCCCATCTCCTCCTCCTCCTCCTCCTCTCTTTGCAAACAGGACTCCGCAGCTTGGAGGAAAGAATTCCACATTTAGGTGAACGTTTTGAGTGAATCACCCCACGTCCCTCCCATACACACTCACATTAAAGTACAAATGTGATTAATACCCTCATTTTGAAATATGATACAGTAGGTCACATCAACCCAAATCTCCTGTTGCTCGTGTGTGTGCTTTAGATTGGCTGAAAAACATACAACGTAAAGCATACACAGAGATAGGACTGTTAAACACATCAGTCCTGATCTTTTCATTTCTAAAAACATTCAGGATTAGGGCTGGACGATTTGGCCTAAAATTAAAATCATGATTAATTGAACATTTTACCTAGATTATGATTAATGAAAGATTGTTTAGTTTTTTGCCATCCGTTCATTAACAAGGTTTGTCATGTAAATATGCTCAACTATTAAAAGGTGGGATATTTTTGTTGATTCAGAGATGTCAGAAACTGATCATCTAAATGTTAGTTCATAAGGTAATGTTGACCTGCACATAACAGAGACATCCTCTCCTCACTTAAAGGACATCTATGTGACAGGTTCTGCGAGCGAACGTGAGTGTAAGCGAGCAGTAGAAAGTGTCGGTGAAAGCAAGAAAGTTATCAGTCTGGCAGTAAGTGTACGTGTTGTCAGTGTGTCTGTTAATAAAAGTCTGTTGTTTCCCCAGCTGCGGGAAAGTGAAGGCGGATAGTGCTGGATGACATCTCCCTGAGGTTCAGACTGCGGTCTGGACGGGGCAGATTCAGGTGGCTACACACACGGTAGTATGTTTTTAAGGCGAAAGTATATGAACACAGTGGGGGAAATATTAACGTGATCAACTAACAACAGACATGGTAAAATTACACTGTTTAGAGGCTCTGAATTTTGGTTTCAATTACTTTTAAATTAATCGTCCAGCCCTATTCAGGATTCTGCAGACCTTGTTGCTTGTGTGCAAATGACTAACGTAGCATCAGGACTGCAGAGTACTAACCCAAGCGATGACAGACAGTCATCTTAGATATAACATTTGAAGCAAATAACATGATCCACCCTTTCCCCTGAATACCGTCATATTGTGTCCAAGTTTGGGTTAACACTCTGCTCCGTTGTCCTCTGGAGATTTAGGCCTACTCTTGGATTTGGACCTGGACCTGGATTTGGACCCTCTGTTGGAAGGTGGGGTTCGACTCCTTGACTTGGACCTGGAACGTGACCGAGACCTGGAGGGAGACTTTGACTTGCTCCGCCTGGGGGTTCTGGACTTGGACTTGGATTTAGACTTGGACCTTGACCTGGATCTGGAGTAGGAGCGGGACCTGGAGCGGCTATAGTGGTGGCGACTCCTGGATCGGGAACGGCTTCTGCTCCTGGAGCGGCTGCGGCTACGTCTGCGACGACGAGGACTGGCTGAACGGCTGTAGATACAGAGAGAAGCATTTCAGTAAAACAGGGAGAATAAACCACAGTATGAGAGGCTGACATACAGATGGGGGACAAATTCAAAGGAAAACCTACAAAATTGTAGATGCATATCAAGAAGCGGATGCTCCCTGCACCTGTGCCCACTAAGTTACATGATTTGGTGACCATGAAAACAACGTGAAGCTCTCAGATAAACGCCTATGAAGCAACATACAAGACAATGCTCTCCAACAACATCTCTGTAAGACCAAATTTCATCTTCACATCCATTTAGTGATGTCTGTGTGTTATGTCTAGCTATGTTTCTTTATCCTGCTGCACTCCGATCTCTCTTGCAAAATACAGCTTGATCTCACTTTGATTAAATAAAAAAGTTGTACATATAAATGAGGGAATGTCTTGTGGAGGAATGTTGTTAATCTCTCCAACAGAGCTCCACAGACTCCATACTAAGACACTTCATGTTGTTTTTTCCTTTAATTTGTCACCCAACTGTACGTAACAATCCACAATGTCTAATTAAAATGTCTAACATTAAGCTAACGTTACATGATTCAGGTCACGTTGGCATGTTTCTACGGGCCAAACGATTAACGTTAATAGAATATCAAGAACATTTAACAGATGATCGGTGATGTCTAAATTAACTTGCCACTAAACTGATGGTGTTGCTTTAACGTGAGAACTATTAATGTTTAGCTCACATAGCAATATAATGTTACAATAGGAAAACGAGTGGGAAGTTATCCAAACTACTCTCGTTTAGGAACTTAGCATACACCATGTGCTCGTCTCTTTTGCAAGATTAACGAGTTCCTCGGCTATTCCCTGACAACAGGATTACCTCCTGCTTCTGCGTCCGTACCCTCCATATCTGCGTGGCGGAGCCCCTCTCCGGCTGTACATTGAGTCCGGAGGCCGTCCGTAGCGTGCCATCTGCACCCGGAGCTCCCGTCCGTCGAGCAGCGCGCCGTCCATAGCGTCCATGGCGTCCTCGGCGTCTCGCTTGTCGAGGAACCGCACGAAGGCGAACCCGCGGCTCTCCTTGGTGTACCTGTCCCGGGGGATATACACGTCTCCTACGCGGCCATACTTCTCAAAAACTCGACGCAGAGTCTCCGGCGATGTTCGGTAAGTGAGGTTGTCCACTTTCAGGGAGGTCATCCCCTCAACGTCTGGCGGCGGCCTTCCGTAGCTCATGTCTTCGTCTCCAACCAACAGACTAGACCAGTTAAACCGAAAGCCGTTAGTCCCTACCGTTTAGCAAAACAGCTACTGTTAGCTTATAAATGTCCACTTGGTGTATTTAATACAAACTCGAGCAGATTTGTAGATTTGTAAGGCCCTGGACGTCGTTTCTAACGCGCTACTTTCACGTGAAATGGCGGCAATAAAGCTTCCTTCCCCCCTCTCTTTGCGCCCGTGTGGTTGGCCCTCTCTGATTGGCTGCTTGACTGTTCACATTAACCGCACACTGCCCCCTACCGACAGGGAGTCGCTATAAACGCAGTGTTGGACCAATATTCTGTCTTTGTTCCGTTTAGTTTCATTAAAAATATACTAGCTATTTCTCATGAATTAACGGGTGTTTTTCTACCTTATCAACCCCAGAGTTCATTGCTTTGACATGTTTAACAGCTGGCCCTACTTGAAGCTTGTAATATAATAGCTAGACTCTTCTTTAGTGTCGGTTGGCACACCAGCTTCATGGCGACAGCATTCCCCGTTGTTAGGTTAAATTGTTAAGTTTTCACCGGCATGTCCACTCATGTCCGGAGGGGTAACGTTTCTTCTCCAGAGAGCCGTCCTCTCTGCACTGCAGTCAGCGCTACACACACACATTTGGCGTAGGAAGGTCACGTTACAAAGCGGGTCGGCACTAGCTGCCTGAGAGAGGAGGACTGCGCAAAAACCACGGCCCGGATTTGTGCCTGGCTGACGTCATGTGGAGCCACAGACCTCTTTGACAGAAGCCAGCAAGGAGAAGCGCCGGGGACCAACATCCAGGGGGCTGGGAGATGTCGGCGAGCACATCGCTGTTTTGAGCCACACACTCGCCCGCGAGGTGAAGCCAGGCACGGACATTTCGCTTAGCTCGATTGCGGTGCACCGCGAGAGCGCTTATCCGATATTAAAGGGACGCGAGCGGCTGTTTTCTGCCTCAAAACGAGCCGCACTGTTGACCAGGGAGGGATAAGCAGCCAGAAAACAACTACTAATCCCCAGCACGGTCACATTCACGGCGGGGCTCGGACCCGACAGAAATGTACAGGGCAGCACGAACTGGATTAAATGATAGGGAATAAAGGAGACGCCGCGAACAAAGCGAGCCAGAAGTGTTATGCCCGTTAACCCGTGTAGTCTTCATTTGACTGGAAATGGGAGCTTTAACAAGCAGACAGAACATAGGCGTGGAAGAAGTGGACATTCCGTCCAATTCGGTGTACCGCTATCCGCCGAAATCTGGTAAGTCACCGAACAACAGGTCAGGCCGGGGGGCGGGGGTATCAGTTGCAGGCGTCAAAGCTTTCTGCAGATGATTTATTGTGTGCTTCGTGTTGGGGAAATGAAAAGTAGCTTAGATATCATCACCATCAAAACCATCACCATCTTACCTTGTAGCTGACAGGCCTACAGGAGCAGCTACCTGTGGAGAGAGGGGAGGACCAATGCCTGATTTTTCTAAGCGTCCTTTCAACTCAATTCCCCCTTAACAGATTCACAATATTACTTCATGCTCTTTTATAACATTTTATCATGTATTCTGTTTATTATTTATCATGTATTTATTTCTGGCACTGGAGCATTGTCATTGTCCATGGAGGGATACTGACTGACAGCATGAATTGTGAATCCCCCCTGATTATCTACATTTTTCATCTATTTGCAGAGTGTCAGAGACAGTGCTGGGTTGGCTCTTATCTTGGTACTTCTATTAGCAGGGCAGCTGGACTGCTGATGGCATCATAAATGCCTCAGTCTGTAAAATGAAGAAGTCACAATGGATCCCAAGAGGATGAAAATAAAAAGATCACTCTATCAGTATCACCATCAGAAGTTATTGGTGGGTTCACTGTAAAGTTAAACTAAATAAAGTAGGACTGCAACCAATTGTTATTTTAATTGTCCTAGAGCAGAGGTAGATGTCATCAAAGTCTTCAGTTTATAAGGATATAAAACAGTAAAGCAGATCTTCACATTTTAGAAGCTGGAAATACAGAAGGTTTGGCATTTTCAAAATTGTTGATTATTTTATAAAATGATTAATCTACAGCTAATTTAGCATTCATGTAGAGACAAATAATGACAAATCTCTTTCCTGGGCATCAAATGTCATCATTTTTTCTAAATCAGAACTATGGTTGCAACAAACAATCTTTTTCATTATTAATCTTTCAGTAATTTGTTGTATGAATATGTTCAATTTTACATGTTATTGAATAATGAATCGTTTCATCAGTAAAATAAAAAAAATGTTGGCCAATTGCCCAGACCCCGATGTGACATCTTCAAACTGTTGGTTATTCAGTTTTATTATAACAGAAGATTATGAAAACCATTTTTTAAATGCTTTAAAGGTTCATGTTACCAAATTTCAGGTATCATATTGGCACCTGTATCAAAGCATGTCAAAAATTCCAAACCTTTCCCTCTGTTTACACCCTGTTGACCCAACTCTGTCCATTTGGACCTCAAACTGACCCATGTGTTTCCAATCTGTCCTGTTATTGTTCTTCTATGTGACATTTTCTGATTGCAGCGCTGTGTTCAGCTCCCTACCAGGGTTTAGCGGTAATCTAAAAATCACAGTGCGAAGAAATAATGTAATTGCTTTTCAATTCTAGTGTGAGCAAAGACATAAAGTAAATTAGAATCTCTCACAAAATGAGACCTGGAACAGAAACAGGGAATATAACCAGACTTTTATTGTCATGTGTCAGGCTATAGTTTTCGGTTTAGAGTGATATCAAATGAAGAAAGGATGCAAGGGAAGGAACAATGTTGATTTGTGGCTGCCATTAGGTCCCTTCTCACCACACTTTAGCTAAATTAGTGACAGCCTGTATGAATTTATGATATAACAATCCTGGTGGCAGCCTGAAGGGGACAAAGGTGGCCGCGATGGCTGCTGGTGAAACCGATCTCTCAGCCCTAGTTCCTGTGTGTGGGATCTAGTGACTAACCCTTGGCCCAGCTCGTCTCTCCCACCTGCTGTAAATAATAATAAGGTGATGAAGAGTCCGAGAAAGAGAGAGTGTCGTCACTGAGGTTTTTTTTAGTTCATGATATGTCACGTTATTTTTTTTTTTTACAGTTTGAAAGGTCAGAGCATCCAAACCAAAGTGTTACAGAAGACTAAACAGACCAGTAGATACACGACTTGCCTGTCCGGCATGCATTTAAAGACTCAGAACCACCATTACAGTCTTATGATATTAGCAAACCCTGTGATTAAAAGGCACAACGTCTATTTAGTCTTGTCATTGGTCCAGAGTCTGGGTAAACAGGTGGAGCAGCTGCAGGTCCAATAACAACTCAGAATGCCCTCAATAATCCCTTTCAGGGCTTCGTTCATCTTCTTGAAATAAGGAAAGAAAATCCTTTTTCCATTTCTACTCTTACCTTGATGATGGAGATCAGGCAGTTTGATATTAAATGGCTGATGCAGTAACTGGAGGTATCTGTGCATAATGGTGCCAACAAAATAATGGTTGACATATTTCAGGGAGATGTTAATGTTTTATATCAGTGAATTGCCAGATGGGTAGAATTTACAACTGTCTGTTATTGGACCCTAAAGTCTTATTTTCTTATAACAAGTGAAAAAAAGCGTAATCTAAGTAGAACAGTTTTCATTTTTTCAACTTTGCCATTAAAGTAAAGCCTGATAATAAAACTCTTTGGAGCTGAAAACACTGGAAATGAGGGAAGAATTTCAGGTGTTTGGAAGCTAATAAAAATCAGCAAGTTTAAATATTTACCAGAATCAGGTGTCATGTCCTTGATACTATTGTGCAGAGATTTGTCTTATTTTGCATTCATTTCTAACAAATTTGTATTTCTTTAAAGGGAAAAATGTTGAAAACAAAATGTTACTTTTTATATTATATTTTCTATCTATTTTTTTCCTCAAAACAAACATCATTAACTTAGACATGTTTATGCTCACCACTAAGTCCTTTGTCAACAGTTTTTTGTAATCTCAGATGATGTGATTTATTTTGAGTTCCGTGTGTTTAAAAGTGAGTCTTTCTGTGTGCAGGGAGTTACTTCGCCAGCCATTTCATCATGGGGGGAGAGAAGTTTGACTCCACCCATCCGGAGGGTTACCTGTTTGGGGAAAACACAGACCTTAACTTCCTGGGGACCAGACCTGTGGCGGTAGGTATTTTCACACACAGCTGTCTTAAATGTGTGTTGTTCTGGAGCTGTCAGTCACATCACACGATCTTCCAGAGTTTGCCCAGTTGTCAAGGAATTGCATTTTTTGTTAGTAAGTTGTAAGTTGTGGCGAGTGAATGTTTTTCTCAATTGTTGTTTCCAAGGTCAAGAATGAACTTTCAGTCTCAACATTAAACGGAATTGTATGAAGATTAAAATATATATAATGAAGAAAGTTTCTTGGCTTGCATCTAACTAGTATTTTTATTTTCGATTAATCTATCCATCATTTTATAAATTCTTATTGATCTACAAAATATCCCAAAAGATCCAAAGGGCGTCTTCAAAATTGCTCGTTTTATTCGACCAGCAGTCCAAAATCAAATATATTCAATTTACACAGATTTAAAGCAGAGAAAAGCAGGACATCCTCTCATTGAGAAGAAAAAAACAGCATTTTTTTGGGCATTTTTACTTGATAAATCACTTCATTGTCAAAATAATTAATTAATAATTAATCGACCACTCGTTTTATCATCAAAAAGTGCAGCGGTCTCTTTCTCATTAAACTGGAGCTGATACATTTCTGCAGCTGTGACTCCTACAGTGGCAATTAACAGGCTTTCAGGCTGTGACTGATTGAAATTTATTCGTCTCATCCTGACAAATTAACTAAAAGTGAAATGACAGACTGCAGGCTGTGCAATGCGTACCGCGAGGCTGATAAGCGACGGTTCGTCCTTGAGGCTTTGCTCAACCTAATCATGAACCTGAAGGTCAAACTAATGAGCGCTGCGGATCAAAAAGAGCTCAGGTCCGGAGAGGAAAGAGAGGATTCGACACAGACTGAAAGGCTCGGAAGGAGTTAAAGTATTTGACTAAGTGAAGCTGATACGGAGAGACTCCATCACTCTGTGTACTAACCTCAGTCGCACTGCTGTTTCCGTCTAGACTGGGGCTAAAATTAGGAGTGCAGTTTTTCTCCCGATTATGTGGGTGTTTATAATCCTCGTGTGGGCACAGGATTCAGCTGGTGATGGTGTGTTTTTTTTCTTCTTGTATGTGTGACTGAAGCTTTAATCAGCATTATATAATGTTTGGTGGTTTCTTAACAGATGGTGCCGTGGAATCATAAAACCAACCGCAGTTGTTGTGTTCTCGGTCCTCTGCCACCGCTCTACAAATATGATAATGGTTGGGCTATATTTAGGGGTTTTCAGAAACTCCTGCCCAAAGCACACAGATAGACAAAATAGATTTTTAGCTAGCGTTGCTCTATGGATGGCAATGTCTGTTGGTCCATCCACCACTTTGATCCAGACTGAAATATCTAAAACTATTGGATGGATTGCCATGAAATCCTGTACAAATAGTCCCCAGAAGATGAATCCTACTGACTTAGGTGATCCCCTGACTTTACCTATTGCACCACGATGAGGTTGACATTTTTGGGTTTTTGAAAAATGTCTTAACAAATATTAGAAGGGTTACCATGAAACTTGGTTCAGGCATTCATGTTCCCCACAGGATAAATTGTAATAGCTTTTCACATCTGGGGACCTGAGGTCTGTGAGCCAATTGGAAGACAGTAGGTTCCTCAGGCATGATGTGCATTTCTTCCTTTTCTGCCAAAAAAGTATAAAAGCCTGAAGGCCTACGTTTACGGTTAACTGTACTTAACTTCTGTGTAAAAAAGAACAAAAGTGACATAAAACATCCAAGAAAGCCACACAAAAGAATGAAAGATAGTATTAGTGGGCAGATATAACTTTATCTTAAGTCTTTTATAAAGATATAACTAACTATTACTAATATTAGCAAGGTGTGGAAGAATAGATCAAACTTAACGATAACATTAAACGTTATTCACTAAGATTAGCTTGTTATCAGGTGATTTTGTGTGTGTCTTTAACACCTAAAACACTACAACAAAGAATATTTAGAAATATTTTTACCTGAAAAATTTACATTAACGCAGCTGTCTTGAGTGGAGAAACTGACTAAACAAAAGGGGAAAACGACAGCTAAAGGAAGTGACTTATTTTCGGATGTTACCATGCTAACATGTTAAATGAAGACATAATGTTAGCATGCTCAAAATACAGCCGTACTGAAGTACAGCTGCTGCAGCTTTCTTGGTGTCTGTCTGTACAAATGTATCATTGTTGAAAATGGAAAACTATGGGTCTGATGTTTAATGATTTTTATTACATTATAAGACCTTCAGTGTTGCCTGTGAGTTTCCCTATGAATGGTTCTTTTCAGCATCTGTTACTCGGTGTGTTTGTTTGTGTAGTTTACAAGCATGACTCCTGCAGAGCCCAGATGTGTAATAGCACTGAATATGGTGCCATTCACAGCCACGACACACACACACACACACAGGGGTTGTTGTGTGTAGGTATCAGACCACATCCTGCATGTTTTTCTTCCAGTGATCCTCAAACCACCTCGACTCTCCCTTTACACTCAGTCAGCAACGTCTGGCTTCAATCCCAAAACAAAAGAGTGCTGAGAAGTTAAAAGGTTATTTGTCAGATTTTAATGTTGTTTTTTTTGCTAATGGTGGGGTTGGTCACAAGAGAAAATAGTGAAAAGGCCAATCACAGAATGTATTTCACATCCCTATCTGTTACTTGATGGTATCAAAATTCACCCGATGTGGTGAACTTCACCCATCTGGTCCTTTTTACCCAGTCTGAAATAAAGACCGGCACTGTTTGACCCTGGACTGTTTTACACCCCTGCGGTCCCTGTGTGTGCAGAAATGTGCCGAACGCTGTCTGAAGTGTCAGCCTCGTCCCTGGAAAGACACAATCTGAGCAGATTTCTTTTTGCTCTGGCTCAGCACTTGTCAGGACGGATCTTGCTGGTGCTGACCAACCAAAACACTTTTTTGTGTTAAGGTTAAACCAGGAGCAGTAGCGGTCAATGTGTAACCCTGAATTCTCTGTGGTAAAGAGAGGAATGCCGGGCAGTCGAGGGAAGATGAATGCTACTTCTCTTCTGTCTAATAACATGTATTTTACATCTATAATTTTGTTTTCTTTTTGTTTTCAGTTCCCGTACGCAGCCCCTCCACCTCAGGAACCAGTAAAGACATTACGAAGCCTTATAAACATCCGTAAGGACACGCTGCGGCTCGTACGGTACGCACCACCATCCACCTACACATATACGCAACCCCTCATTATACCACTATTGTCCAATTTTATGTCCACTGAGCTATTTTTAGGAAACAAGCCACAACAGCTAATTTAAGGGATAGTGTAAAATCATGCATGTTATTTCTTGTAATTCAAACCTTTATTGTCTTCAGGCATACTCATGAATAAAACATAATTAAAAAGTATACCAAACCTATAACACTATAACATCCAATTATGAAATTAAAAGTGCAAAATGTCCCTCGTGTCTGAAAACAGGACAATCACTCAAAACACAAATAACACACAAAACAATGCTATATGCTATATCACATAGAAATATCAAAGTGATTAAAATATCTCAAGATCTCATGCTAATTATTGACTTTAGATAAGATCTAAATATTATATAATACATAACTCAACCCATTGCAGATCAATTCTGTATGATTATTAACAATTAAAGCACTCTATATCACTTTTTTTTTAATGCAAACTCTCCATGACTCAAACAGTTCTTAATGGAGTTTGGATCATGCTCACATTTATGTTTTACCTTTCTGCCATCCGTAGGTGCAGTGAGGACCTGAAGCTGCCAGGTGACGAGGCAGCGGGGAAGAACAGGGCCTGTTACAACATAGAGTTCACCTTTGACGCCGACACACAGGTGGCCATAACCATCTACTACCAGGCCATAGAGGAGTTTCACAATGGAGTGCCAGTGTAAGTGGAAACCTGTTTTCTGTCAGTTACATTCATTCAGACACAGCAGGCTAAAGACTCTACAGCAATCCCTGGCCTCAGGTTACCTTACATAAAAATGATCCAAATGAGTTACGCAGTAAGGTATATACATATTTTAAATTTGGGGAGAAGAGAGCATGATTCCTGATCGGGAATTGGTATTGGCAGATAGCCAAAGTTGAGGTTTATCAGAATCAGTATTGGTAGAGAAAAAGTCCAGTCCAGTAAATATAAAAAAGGGGCATCTGCTACCTTCGGTCATCATTTGAAAAATAGAAATAGACATACAGGCTTGGATGGAAGAGAAAAAATGTTTCCATATATATCTCACATAAAGAGCTGCCTGGGATTCCACTCTGTTCAGACAGGATGCTGGATGCAAGCAGACGTTGCCTTCCTGCACTTCACATAGAATAAAACATCTTTAAAGCAACAGTAGTAACTTCTAATTTTAAACAGAAATAGCTGGTGATGGTTTAAATAAATTAAAATGCACACATATGTACTTTTAATCAACAAATAAATCATTCCTACTTCAAACTGCAGCAGGTATAAGAGATCACTTTCTTGATACTGATAAACTGACTGATCTATTGATCAGCCCTATCATGTGCTTTGTGTAGTTGTATGCATTGATTGGCTGTATCTGTGTGTTTCCTGCAGTTATCTGCCCCAGGACAGCTCTCTGCAGTCTGAGACAGTACACTTCAAGAGGGGAGTCTGCCAGCAGTTCTGTCTGCCCTCACACACCGTCAACCTCAGCGAGTGGGCTGACGAGGAGGTAGGCAGCTTGTGTGTGTAGGTGTGTCTGTAACACTGAAAAACCTGTGTGAGGCTGCGCTGTGGTGTGAAACTAATTTATACATATTGCACATATATATATATATATATCAACTTTGTTTCTCTCCTCACCTCCTTGTTTTCTCCTCAGCTGCTGTTTGATATGGACAAAGAAATTTTCCCCATGGTGGTGCAGGCTGTTGTAGACGAGGGGGAAGGTGAGCTACTGTGCGTTCATCACACTGTTGGTCTGATGGGAAAGTAGAGCTGCAGGATTTTAAGCAAAGACGTGTCCACTGTCTTTATCTTCGCAGAACATATGGGCCACTCTCACATACTGCTGGCCACGTTTGAAAAGGTAAGAAAGAGTCAGAGCAGGAGAGAACTTGTTGAAGGCACGATATGTTTGCAGGAATTTGCTGTTATGCAGATATTGGCAGCGCGCTCCTATCGAGCTGAAACAATTAATTTATCGACAAAAACATTTTCAGTAAACTATTCTGACACTTGATTAATGATTTATGTCACTGTTATAGTTTAACATCTTTGGGTTTTGGATAATTGATAACAATGTAAAAACCTGTACTGCTCTGTGGTGATGTTAACACTCCTTATCTTGTAAACGGGGCCTTGATTACTGTATGCTCTCTTGGGTTTGAAACATAAAATTTTGTAATCATCAGAACAACTATGACATGTATTGATTGAATATCTCTATATTGATGATGTTTTGTAGATGACCAAAATCCCAACATATCCCAGAATATGTTATCTCATATCATAATATTACACTAATAAAGTATATTGCTGTACTTAACATAATAGTCGACATGGAAAAGGTTAATATTAACGTATTTTGTCGCTCATATTGTGCTTTATCTTACATCTATTTGGGGGATAATCATGCTTTAAGTTTTGCAGTTACAGTTTCCATCATTCCTTGAGGGATGTTAACAGTAAAGTAAAATGTTGCCATGGATTCAGTAAGTTTTTTAACCTGTATTTCTTTACATTTTGGCCAATTGGCATCAGTAACAGTATGCCGAATTAGCTATTAGCGGTTACTGTTTACAGTTTACCCCAGGATGTCCAGACAATTATTTGTAGATTACTTTGATAGTGTAGAAAACTTTAAAAAAAGTGGTGATTCTCAGGCAAGTTCTTCAGCAGCATCTGTTTTCTGAGTGGATATATAGATGTTTATTTGTAATGAGACATCAGATGATATCCTTGTAAAGTCAAGTTGAAACACATGTATGTTCAGATTTGTTATTTTGATCTCAGTCAAATCAAGCGAGCACCAAGATTGTTAAAGTGCCTTAATTGCCTCCACGAATGGTGTGTCACAGCCTTTACCGCTGACTGTAGTTGCCGACTGTGGTAGTGAACTGGCTAAATCAGCGGGACACACTACAATAACTTCCTCTTGTTTTCAGAACACCGGCTTGCCTCGGTTCTCTGCCTTTGTTCTCGGTTAACCTGATACCAGAGAGAATGATTAATAATCAAAAAAATATTGTCAAGGACAACATCTCTACGTCTGGGTGATCATTAGCAACAACTCTAATCCCTCTTTTCTTTAAGGATGCTGCAATTTGTAATAAATTAGACAAGGTAATATACAACTGTTGCTTTCTTTGGCAGCACATGGACGGGAGTTACTGTGTGAAGCCTCTGAAGCAAAAACAAGTGGTGAATACAACTGCTTTTCTTCTCTCCTTTCCTTCCTCCTTTTTTTGTGTAATATTTTTTATGCTTTTGAAAGACAAAGATACACCAAAGCTAAATTTCCCTCTTGAACATTACATCTGGCCCATGAGACCTGCAGCCTTTATCCCTGACTATGTTCCTTTTCCCAGGTGGATGGAGTCAGTTATCTACTGCAGGAGATCTATGGGATAGAGAACAAATACAACAGCCAAGAATCAAAGGTAAATCTCAGGCAACACAAGAGGTTTTCCACAAGAGGTTTTCCTGTCTGCTCTTCTTTGAGTGCATCAGAAGTGACATGGAAGTGTAGTGAAATAAATCGGTGACTGATTTTTAAAGTGACTGAAGATTTAAATGTGTTTTATCTCCAGGTTGCTGACGATGAGATCAGTGACAACAGTGCCGAGTGTGTGGTGTGTTTGTCGGATGTGCGAGACACACTCATCCTGCCGTGCAGACACCTGTGTCTCTGCAACGCCTGCGCAGACACTCTGCGCTACCAGGCCAACTGCTGCCCCATCTGCAGACTGCGTGAGTTCCCATCAACAATGAAGAATTTATTTTTCCAGAATGAGACACAAAATGGTTTCCACTGCTGACAAAAGATTGTTGAAAATTTATGAAGACACCTCCCAACACTGTTAATGCTTCTTTTTTTGTATTTCTATGTATTACAATAGAAAAAGTAGAATATTTCAGCTCTTCATCAGGTACAGAGGAATCAAATAACAATCTGGTGTTTTGAAAGAAAGCAATGTTTAATGTGCAGTTGATTAACAAGGTTGCCAAGCGGAAATCACAGTTTTTTTAGACTCAGCAACTGGAGAAGAAAGATATGTTTTTTGCCAGTGCAATGGAACAAAATGATAATGTTAAATATCGAATTTTGTCTCATGCACTATGTATTTGAAGGCGTTCCTGTACAGAGGCACTAAATATGGGAAATGTAAAAATAGCCACAGCAACTGATTCATCTGCGCTGACTGACCGCTGCAGCAGAGGAAACTGCGACTTAAATTCAACATTGTAACATTTGACGGTGTAAAATCTGCAGCATTGTTTTATCGTACACACAGATGGAGAGAGACAGACAGAAAGAGTGTTTCTTGCAGTTGGCTCATGCTGATTCTTTTCTGTAACAGTCAAGGTTTTACCAAACATCTCCCACACTTCTTTTTCACGACAAGTTCAATTACAGATTTTCTTTTGTTGAGCTTACCTTGAGCTTTTATACCATTAAATTTCAGATCTGTACAATGAATCTTATTTAACAGCACTTTAGGCTCATTTATATCTGTAGTTGTATTAAATTCCCCCACTTAGCTTACAAATAGAAGTGACCCATGTTTATTGTAATTAGCGAAATGTGAGTGTTTAGATCGAAGTCAAAAATAAGTGATGACACTCTCTTACAGATCCCCTGTTTTTTAAAGGTGTCAAATCATCACCTTTTGGTAGAATTCACTTTTGTTAGCTCTTCAGTTTCACCTTGGCCTTTTTTATAATGATTTTGGCCTTGAAATATATCCGTGTGCTGTGGTGTGAAACTAATTTATAAAAGTATATATACTTAACATTTATATTTATATTTGTTCTTAAGTATAAGTGCAAAGTAGTTGTCAGTGCAATTATTATTAGATATTTATATATCTAAATCTCTTTTATTTCCATCCTTTTTCTCCAAGCATTCAGAGCTCTTCTGCAGATCCGAGCCATGAGGAAGAAGCTCAGTCCTCTGTCACCTACAAGCTTTAATCCCGTCATCACTTCACAGACCTCTGACTCAGAGGAACACTCGGTGAGACAAAAAAATAAATAAATATATATATATAAAATAATGATCATTACCAGTCCCAGTAAACTCACATCCCCAGTGTCTTCTTCTGGTTTGCAGGCGTCAGAGCACATCCCGCCGGGCTACGAGGTGGTGTCTCTCCTGGAGGCGCTGAACGGCCCCCTCAACACCTCCTCAGTGGCCCCTCCTCCTCTCCACTCGGGTCCCAGCCACGTCACAGGAACACTGCCCCCGTACAGCAATGAGCCTCACCCGGCACCGGCCCGCTCCCTCTCCCCGCTAGACCACTCCAACTCCAGTCAGGGACTCAAACTCAAGAAGAGTGGTTCGAAGTGAGTCTACTTTAATTAGTATTAGTGACAGTTTTTCTGCTTGGAATAGCAGATGGCTTGGGGACATAAAGTCATAGGAATGTATTTGCTGTTGTCATCCCTTTTCAGGGAATTATTTCCGAGTCACAGTTCAATATAGTTTACAGTCCAAAAAGAGAAAATTTAATGTAATTTCTGTTGACTTATGTTTTTTATATCCAGTTTGTACAATTTTCAAACCGCTGTTCTTTCATCACTGAGACGCTACTCTCTACTGTTCTTGGAGAAAATGTGCAAATATGGCAGCTTTGGATAGATTTTACTACTAACAGTATGAGGAGTTAAAATGACAACATCTTTTGAAATTTGTAGAAAAATTGGTTGGAGCTTGGCTTCAACATTTGATAGGTTAGATTTGGGTACGGAAGGTTGGGACATGTCCCTATAAACATGTATATTTCTATAAGCTATAGCGTTATCTGATTTTGACCATTAAAATTATAATATAAATAAACACTAGTTAATTCATTGGTTTATTTAAAAAAAAGACATTGAAAATAATGTGCCCTAATTACAACATACTCAAATATACAGTCTTCTTACTCATCATAACTGTCCTACTGACATTATATGGGTTTATTTTTATTTTTTTTCTTCTTCTCAGTGTTGTTTTATTGTGTTTTACTGGTTCAGCTACATCAAACCCACTCCTGTTATTTTTGTCTGAAGCTACTCTATTATCCTGTTTATTTAGGTCCCTTTCCCAGAACTCCTCTGTACTTCCAGAGGAGGAGGATGAGAAGTCCTGCAGTGAATCGGAGGCCTGTCGCCACAAACTCGCTGTGGACCAGCAGGAGGTGTGTATGTGTGTGTGTGGAACAGAGACAAAGAGAAAATACATTTTTGTTTATCTCGTGTCAGGTATCTCCAGAGGCTGTGGGTATGTACACGTTTGTGTTTGGAGGATCGTGTGGTGTTTTGAACTCCTGTCTTATCGCTACTATTGTTGTTTTACAGAGCGGAGTCACTCCCGACAGTGAGAACCTGACTCTGTCCTCGTCTGGAGCCATCGACCAGTCATCTTGCACCGGGACCCCGCTCTCCTCCACCATCACCTCCCCTGAAGGTACACACACAGACATTTGTCTTTCTACACGTGCTTTCCCTAGCCCCTAACTCTTCGAACAAAATAACTGTAAAAACAAATTCTAACCTTCAAACAGTCCTTTGAAGTAGCAGGGCTGGCCAAAATGTCTCCACAGTAGAAGAATGTCCTAACTGAGATGGTTTAGAACTGAAATTGGTCCTCATAAAGATAGCAATGTAAGCCCACGCACCAAACCACAAATGACAAACACAAACATTCGGCATAGTGCTGAAAACTGCAACAATGGATGTTCTTCAGCAAGTGAATGCATTTATATTTCCTAAAGACAAAATACATATTGTTTATTTCTTCACTCATGATTTTCAGAAGATCTCAGGAAACTCATGATGTCGCACAATTGTTTGTTGATTATTGAAGCCCAGCCTGGGAGACTGGCAACAAAGGATACTTCCTGTCTGGGGATATTTGTCCTTCCTAAACCTACAGAGAATCACTTAAGTGTCCAATTAAGGGTATTGTTCACCCCCTATACTAGTGTCAATATTCTATTGAATTTGGTTCAGAACAAGACACAGCTCTTACCTAAGTCACACTGTGTGTCGTTCAAGTTACATGCAATACTTTCTACATAGAGCCAGTCAGTCAGTCCGTAATGAAACAAAATACAGATAATCTCTCTCATGTTGCTGCTGCAGCAGCAACATGAGAGAGATAACTAAATTCTTCTTGTTCTGCCTTCCAACATCACTGTAATACATGTATCACTCAGTCTTCATAACTTTTGAACAAAGAATATACACAAATAATATATGAATGAGGTGATTTAAAGTTGTTCAGGAGATTCTTCTCAAATCAGATAATTCTATATAAATTACGTTTCCTCACTCAATGCGACTGGGGCAGAAGAGGTTAAGAAACCACCTAATACAACCAGGGGTTAAACTGGGCCGGAGCCCACCGAAGCTCAGCTCTGTCTCCTTCAGTATCACAGGACTGCCTACTCTGGCTTGAAACTGTCTGACTGTCAGACATTATTAAACTTGCAGGAGAATTCTCTTCCTAATGAGAGATTTACTAAAAGAGAAGCAGAGCCAAGCAGCACTCGTGCTCGAGATGGTCATTAATTAAGACTTTAACTGCAAAATAAGATTTAAAATCTATGACTGATGCAGCTCCTGAGAGAATTTACTTGAACAGCGTGAAGAAGCCAGCAATGCTACATGTCTGAAATCAGTTTATAGACTATGCAGCTGTTCTTGTACTTCCTCTTTTTTGTGTGAAATACAATTTCCCTAGGTGGGGTTAATACTGTTTATCTTACATTAAATTGTGAATGCATCTCACGTGCTGTTTGTTTCTCCTTGTTACAGTCTCTTTATTAAATGATGTGAATGTAAGATGTAAATGTAAGACTAAGCAGAGCTCAAGGTACCGCATGGAAAATCTTAACATAAATAAATCATAAGCTTACACCACCTCATCGTTTTACATAGGTGTCACTAGATCAGATTTTATGGGAAATGTGCTGGAAAACAGGAAGTGAGACTGTGATTTCAGCTGGAATGAAAGGCTCAGTGAATTAATAACTTCAAACATTCAGCAAAACTAATCCTTGTGTAACCAGGCTTCCAGCTTGTGTTGCTGACAGAGGTCTGAATTGAGTCAAAAAAACTGGGATACTCAGACAAGCTTTAGAAATATCCAGGTAGCTATGAGATTGGAAATTACTGCATCTCTTTCTTTAAGAGTTTAAGAAGTAGATGAGAAGATGATTACCACTCATTAGCGATTAGCTTAGCTTAGCATAAAGAATGGAAGCAGGGGGAAGCTAGCCTAGCTATTTTTAAAGTTTAAACATGCGCCTACCAGCACCTTGAAACTCGCCAATTAATACAATGTTGTTTTCTTTTAAGTCGCTGGATCTCTTTTAAAGGAGCTAAAAGGTTCCTTCAGCCTATTGTTGTGTGCGTTTCCACCTTGGTCTAAAGACCTGCAAAGATTAGGCAAATTAACCAGCTGACGGACAGCCTACGCTGTACAAAGCGATGGACTGGCATCATTATTTGTAACCACTATCCATGAGCAAAATGTATAAATGAACAACAGATCTAATTGGAATATAATGAAAATCTATAGGCTTTGCTTGACCATTAAAAAAAGCTTTTTTGTGTGGGAGTATAATGAAGAGACCCACGATAAAGTTTGTTGCAAATTTAATAACAAACTAGATAGAGCCATCAAGTTCATAAAATAAATCCAGCACAGAGAAAGCAGCACAAAAATAAAATCGCGACAGTTTGGAAGGTTATTAAAACTAAAAACTAAATAAACTAAACGGAACAGGATTTTTAACAAGCTTTATTACCTGCTGTAATCAGCTGATCCGCTTGTTTTGAAGAGAAGACCGACTTCAGCTCTGTGTAGAAACTTCCTGATTGCATCAGCTATTCATTGTAAACACACCTCTGCACGCTGGCTGCAATTTCCGAGCAATACATTTAATGCCAACGTACGATCTCAGGCAGACATCGGCAAGAAGCTATCTGATTTGTGATTTATTGGTTTGCAAACAATGGTGGAAAGAGAGGAGCAGTCGTAGAAAAACACGCGACATACTCTATTTAAAGCCAGTAACCTCTACTCGTCCATTCAGAAATTCACTGCAAGGCAAGCCCCACCCCCTCAAAGTACCGGTACTTTCGGAAAGTACTATCCCCCCAAGCAGGGACTATTTGGGGGGGTAAAATAAAGACCCTAGAACTAAATTTAGACCCTGGTCCCTTCGGTGGAAACGTAGTGAATTCCTCCAAAGGTTCCTAGTTCCGGGGTATAGTTCCTTTGGTTGAAACACGGCTTTAGAAGCACTGATTGGCTTATTTATGCACTAGACAGAGTCAGGCCAGCTATTTACCCCTGCTAGTATTCATCCTAAGCTATACTAATCAACTCCACACTTAAGCTTCATACTGTTGTGATGTAGCAGTGTTTTCATATAGTTCTCTGAAAGAAAGTGAATAGACGTATTTCCCAAAATGTTGAACTATACCTTTAATATGATAACGAAACATTGCTGTTGCTAATTCTGTAAGAGTAGGAATCAAAATAAATGGTCTCACCTGGTAACCAAAAAGATAATCCGACCCCCAGCTCGACTGTGATGTGTGTCTCCGTCTGTCTGCCAGACCCAGTGAGCTGCAGCCTGGTCCAGTCAGTGATGTCCATGGCTTCGTCCCACTCGCAGCACTCCCACATCAGCACTGACACCATGTCCTCCATGTCAGGGTCCTACCTGGCCGGGGCCGAAGGCGAGGCCGGGGGGGACGATGGGGGAGACGTGGAGGGCGAGGAGAACCAGGACGCCCCCATGGAGAGCCGAGGACCATCGCAGCAGGAAGGGGTGAGGAATCCAGAGTGGAGGAGAAATTGGCTGCAAGACCCTGGCATTTATTATAAACATGTTGCACCTTTGCATCTTTTCTTTCATTCAGGAGTTTTCCCAGGAGCCAAAGGAACAAAACTACTCCGTGGCTGTAGAGGAGCAGGACTCAGAGGTGACTGTAATACACTGATATTTGCTGAGCAGAGTGTCATTAATGCTAATTTTATGTATTCATCTAACTTTAAAATTTTACAATACTGCCCCCTTCCTCTCCCCGTTTTCTTCAGGGAAACGATGTCACTGAAGAGGACTGCTCCTCCCCGTCCAATGGGAAAGGTAACTATTGTGACCATCCCTCACCATTCACCCTCACTTCCCCTTGCATTTGTTGCTTTCAGGCCATGTGAAAAAGATATACACCTTTTCATACAACTATATATTATAGAGTGAGCTGTCTATATTGTTGCTGTCAGTAAATCTTTTTGAATCATGGCTAAGTAATAAAAGCCCTTTCAAAATAAAGGGAATAAATGTTAGATATTGTCCTCTAGATGGGGCAGTCTCTTTCAAAATGCACATACTGTTGGCTGAAACCACCACAACATGCAGTATCTGATCTGGAGTGAATGGCTTATGGCTGTTATACAGTATGTGTGCACTAGAACCTTGGTCTACTTGGCAGTGAAGGCCGAGCTCTTAGGAATTAATTAAAATACTGAAATGACAAAAGTTTATTCTAATATGTATTAAGTATTGTCACCGATTGTCCCACTGTAGTTTTCTTTTGTGGTTTCACAAAACTGGACTGGATGTGGCAAGAACTAAATCCTCAAATCAGATTTTATCACTGCAATCATATATAAAATCTGTAACATGCAAAATAGTCCTAATTTAGTTTAATGAGGAACTTTGAAGTTCTCTTTTTCCTCCATGATCTCGTAGCAACTTGCGTAGCCTGTAAAACACAAGCAGCCCAAAGATCCTGAGATACTGCATGAGTGAGTCCCACCACAGGCAAAATTTCTTGTCTAGAATTTGTGAAGGGATGGACAAGAACATGAACTGCCTCAGGTTGTGCATCAGTTCAGGACCTGAATCCTCCAGCCATAACATAATGTCATAACAACAAAACCTGTTCCATTTCAAAGGCTCCTCCAAATCTGGCAGAGAAAGTTTTATTTTGTCCAAACTTGAACGTGCATCCTTTAGAGCCCTCAATTTTCCAGAATCCATTGTGTGCCAATCAGTAGTTTATTTGAGTTTAATCATTACATAAAGCACCTATAACCTATATTTTTATAAAAACAATGTATCAAAGGACAATGTGAAAACAATGACATGATGCGAAAGAGTCGCTCGTAGTGATGAACATGCAGAGAATTATCTGAATCTGCAGCTCCCCTTATCTTTACAGAGCTTAATAGTTTGTTTCAGCTCATTGTTTAACTGTCTTTTGTCATTGCTCTCATAGTGTTGTTTTTGGCAGGAGCAGGCAGATGTTTTCAGAGAAGAAGCTATAAAAAACTACTATATACTACCTGCTCAGCACAATAACAGCAGAGAGACACAGTTAGCTGGTGAACATAGTGGAGCATTTAGCAGCTAAAGAGGCAGATATTTCCCTCAGGATATGGTAGAGAACAAGAACAAAGCGAAGATAGAGAGTGAATTGTATTTCTTTTAGCCATTCACAGTCGTCTTGGGCAGCGCTAAGCCCAGGATGCAGCGACAGTGCCCATGCAATATAGTGTTGGAAGATAGCTGAAGGGGAGGAGAAGTCTGACTGAAATAGTCAGACATTAGCGAATAGTCACAGCCTACTTCTTGTGTGCCAGACTATTCAGTAGCTTGCAAGCCAGCTAATAAAACACACAAAATGTAAATTAGACAATTGTGGTGTTAGTAGGGGGTGCAGGAGTATTCGCCTGCACCCCCTACTAACACCACAATTGTCTAATTTACATTTTGTGTAAAGCTGACATGTGTCCCAACAGTCTCTCACTGAAAAAAGACCAAACTGATATCAACCCTGCATCCTTCGGAGGATCCACGCCCTGAATTGATACACAGCTCACAGATCAGGCAGTGAAAAGTGCATTTGAGAGACTTTTATTTATTTACCTCTGTTGTTAATTGCTATCTGCTGTTTCCTCATTGGTGGATTTAATGACCGGTGATCAAGTAATTGGCAATAAATATTGGCTGATTCCAATTGATCGGAACATCAATTCATTCACAGCAGGAAACGAGCATGTACAAGCATCCTGTGTTGTTTAGCTGAGGTTCCGCTGCACACCAGGCTACTGGCTTGCATTTGCATGATTTGCACGTCTATATAAATGTTTGTGTGTACATGTGTTTGTATGCTTGTGTATTTTGTGTACGTGTATGAGGTATATCATCATCATCAGTCTCAAAAAAGCTCTGCACTGTGCATTTTGCTTTTTTTAGCTGCTGCATCATGAAGTGAAGGCTTCTTCATGCTCCATCTGTGTGTGTGTGTGTGTGTGTGTGTGTGGTGTGTGAGGGAGAGGGGGAGAGAGAGAGAGAGAGAGTACTAAAGAAAGTGTTGTGGTGTATGGAGAGTGTGATTCAATAACTAGTAGGGCTTGAAGTGAAAACAACATGGGTCACCTTCATTAGACAACAGTTTGAAACTTGTTTATGTAAATTAGTCTCTCTGTGGATTGTGTGTGTGTGTGTGTGTGTGTGTGTGTGTGTTCGGACACCTCGAGCCAGACTGAAACAATCTCTGAGTACCTGTGAGTTACTGAATGACCTTTCAGTTCTTTAGGAGACGAGCGGACCTGTGCTGCCTGACAGTCTGTGAATGTGCACACGCGCTGCGCTGTAGGATGTATGTTTGCACGCACATGTGTGTGCATCTGCACCAGCGCTGCCAGACAGCTTCTGTATGTGCCCCGTCTGTGTCTCTGCGATGAGCTGCCAATCACCCAGTCATCTCTGCCATTTTCTCCTCAATGGCGCCAACACACATGCTGCACACACACAGGCTTGCTGCAGGCATGAGGCACTTGCATATATTAAACACACCAGTATCTGTTATCTGGCCATGCTGGAAAAGACAGAAAAAGATGCTAATCCATACAGTTTTTATTCATATTTCTCTCGTTTGTCAGCTTACTTAAATAATGAGAAAATAAACACCAAAATCAGAAGATCTTTGGCTTCAGTGTGTCATACTTAAATATCAGTAATCACTGTTGAGTGATAGCTAAGAAATTAAGAATATAAGAGTAAGTGGGAGCTTGAAAACAAAATGGCATTTCATTTAAAATTATTCAAGTCTGGTAGTTCTGTGTAAATTAGTAAAGTTCATGAAAAAAACATGAAAAACTGTATATCATAACATATTATGCTTTAGATATTATTTTTCCATTTTACTGTCACACAAGTGTGACTAGTATTCTGTCCAGAGAAAGTGAACAACAAAAGCTAAATTGCAGTGAATCGACGTGGCTGAACATATAAACAATGGATAATAAAGGAAAATGGATACGGATAAAAAACGTAATCATTAAAAAATGTTTTTATCATCAAGGTATCGGTATACTATACTGTCATAATACAATACAATTTCTGGAAAATAAATTTAGAAACTGCGTTTTGTGGATAAGATCACGTAGCAGTCCAGTGCGTTAATACTTTATAAATGAAAGTAGTTCATCACATTGATGCAACATTGCACACAGTGACAGACAACCAGAGAAATGAAAGTGATGGCTACCAAAGTATAAACCGCATGGTCAGCCTTAAATGGTAATATATGTAATAAAACTATATTTGTAGATAACATTTCTTACGAAGAAATGTATACAAACTTAATTTGTATAGTCATATCATAGTGCTTTACAACTGTGTCTGCCTGCTATATATAATTATCACAGTGAATGGTCCTCAAATTTTTTTCTGTTTCTGAACCAATAAATTACAAATGAAAATAGCCTCAACTGTCGGTTTTGGGCAGAAAAGACGCAAACATTTCTTGTGCTGCAAGAAGTATTGATAGTAAACTAGAGAGCAACATAAGCCGACGTGTTTCCTGAATGAGGATCGCTTGTTTGTCTTTTCTTCCCTGAAAACAATCCGTCCATTTTGTACATGTTGTTCTCTCTAGTTACATCTTGCAGAGAAAGCCTCGCAGGCCTCAGAGCCAATATGCTCACCCTGGTCATGTGCCCCCCCCCCCCCCCCCCCCCCCCCCCACACTGGATTATGATTTAATTCTGTCTCAAATCTTTAAAAAAAATTAGCCCACACACAACGATCGCTTTACAGAAAGTCAGCTTGGTGTCACCAAGACAAACTCCATTTTAGATTATATTTCTATTCTCCACATAGAAATATTTTATCATCTATCATTTTATTAATGGCGTTCCAGCATGGCCAACCTCACCTCCCTCACCTCTGACACCCTCCCCCTTCCCTCCCTCACCCTGCCTGTCCCACTCCCCCCTGCTGTGCCTGGCTGCTCTTGTTTGACCTTTGCCCTCGCTTGCAGGTGGGTGGAGCAGGTGTCCAGAGTTGGCCAATAACAATCAGGGCGTCGCCCTCTGTGACACGCCCTCTTTGGGGTTGGATAATGAGCAGGCTCCCGACAGCCGATTCGCCGGTGAGTGGCAACCTCTCGAACATGGACTGATGAGAGCTGAGGAGGGAGGCAGGGGGTGAGGAGAGATAGAGGAGGACAGGAAAGTTGAGGGGAGTAACAGAGAAAGAGTGCATGAGTTTTCAGTCAGAAGAATTAAGGATTTCGGACACATTAGCTTGCTATGCTAACACGCTAATGTAATTTAAAGCTAGAAGAAACAAGAAAAACAAATATTAGGTTTTTTATTTTGGCAGATTTGGGAGCAGTTAGGGACCAGAGAGGAGGTTTTGTAGCATCTTTGCCCAGCATGAAGATCTGGAGCCTTCCTTCTTCTCTTCATCCCTACCCTTTGGTGTTGTGGTGCTTCATTGCTTTTTCAGTACCGGTTAGCTCTGCACCCTCTCCCTCCTCTCCCCTTTAGTTGAAGCCGTGGTGTATGTCTGTGTGTGTGTGTGTGTGTGTGTGTTTGTGTGTAAGTGTATGTTATCGTGTGTGTGTGTGTGTGTGTGTTTTCTGTTTGCGTGAGAGAGAGAGAAAGAAAGAAAGTCTGGTCCATCCCAGAGTTGAAGTTCATGTTCAGCGTCTGTCAGCTCTGAGCCGCTTTGCCAAACATCTGCAACTCATTCTCACACCCCTCATTCTTCCCTCCTCCTGTCCTCTCCTAATCCTCCTCCCTGCCTCCTACCACTTGGTGGGTTACTGTGATGAGAGCTAACGGTGACAAATTTATTTTTGCTTTACTATGTTTTTAAGTTTTGGTTGTTTAATTCAGCTCCTAAGCGAAACAGTTCAGTCATTTTTGGTTCATACTTGTTTCACAGCCTTTAGCTCTGCATCCTTCCCGTAGCGCTCAGCTTCTTTCCCTTTTAAACCCTTCATCTGCATCACCCCTTTGGTCTTTTATGGTGGTTGGTGTGACATGTTTTCTCTTCCTGTGTCGTAAAAGTGTTCTGTTATCTCTCTGTTTCTCTCCTTTTCCCCCGCCATTCTTCACATCTTCTGCTGTCTTTTCCCGGACATTTTCCTTCCTTCCTCTGTCTTTCTCTCTTCTTTCTTTCTTTCCCTGCTCTCCGTTGTCTCTTTTCCTTCTTTCGCCTTCTTTCGGATGGACAGATGAGGAGTCGTGCCCAGTGCACATTGAGGACTAGGTATGGAGTCATGGCTAGATGGTAGGCCAGACACCAGGGTCATAACTTATAGTTGTTCTTTTATTTTTTGCACCGTAACAATCACCTTGTTTTGTTAATTGCACATTTTATCTGTCTGTCATGATTGAATTGTGTTCAAAATGTGATTCACCATTTTTAAAGTTTTTGGAAATTCCAAACAGAAAGTAACATCAAGCCTAAATGACAACAAAGGTTAAAACTACTTGGTTAGGTTTAGGAAAACGTTGTGGTTTAGGTTAAAGTAAGTTAATTACGTGAGTCATGTGACGGAAGTCAGTAATGCTATTTCCGTTAAAATGAAAGTAACTCAACATTCACTTGGTTTCACATGGGACTCCGCCATTCTCCTGAGTGAAAATCTGGGGTTTGACCTGTCCGACCAAACCATCGTACCTCCTTACGCAGACTATTTATAATATGTCACGCTACTTCCTCCTTTGCTACTGTTGTATGGCCAGTGGATTTCGCTGCCACTATAAGCATAAATATAGTTCGTAATAACGTGCTTCACAAACGACCTGTATTGTCGTTTTTCTGCTGAGGACAGTCTCAAAAGTAAGCAGGAAGTGTTGCTCTTTTTAGAGGTGCACCGATCAGGATTTTTGGGACTGATTGCTGGATGTATTTGAAGACATATTTATTATGTAGCATTATATATTTATTTAACTATTCTTAAAAACAATGTATATTAAGTATTATAATATCTAATTAACAGATGATAAAGGATCACAAATTGACACCTGTTTCTTTTATTGGCAGCAACATATTCTACTCCCTCTCTCTTAGAGACAAAACATAAACCATAGCAGCCTATGCATGGTTATTGAGAACAACTTAGAGCTTAACAAAGGTAGCTTTTCTGTGGAATAAATGACAAAAACAGGACAGTCTTTATAAATTTACTTCTACTTTAGACTGCAACAAAAAAGGCTATAGCAAAAATATTTAGGAAATAAACAAGCACAGGCATCATGACGGCTTTAGTGCTGGCTAGCTTTGAGAACTGCTCAGACCGCTATATGTACATTGACAATTGTCTCACAAGTATTGCATGTTGTGATCGGCCTTGATAGAAACCACTAATCAAACGATTTACAGCAATTATCGGCCAATAACGATTGGTGGCCGATCGATCAGAGTACTCTTAGCTTTTTTTGTGTATCTCCATTACAGCTCAGAATGCATAATATTTTGTCATCCAAGTTGCTGTAGAACTCAGTGCTTTCATTTATAATGTTATTCATTATTCATATTTCTGTGGTCGAGGCCTAAAACTTTTAATAATTCAATTTCCTGGCTGATATTTACTGTTATTCACTGTGAGTCAGGACCATGAGGGTCAGTCTTGGAGTTGCTTCTAAATGGTAAGTGACATTTAATACAGGCCAGGATGACTGCAGTGTCACCACAAATTAAATAATAATAATAATAAATGGCCGTGGCATATTACAACAAATGTAAATTTCTAGATATTTCTCATTCTAAACTTTAAAAAAATCTAAGAAAATCCCCTGTACGTCCTGGAGAGCTGAAGTGTTTTCAGCACATCCACTGATCTGTGTCAAAAGTTTACCTCACTACAGCCTATGGTCAATTCAGAAATCAGTCACTCTATATTTTTCAGAATATGCTAAATCAGTTAACATCTATATCTAAGTCTTCTTTCTAACTCTACCAAAATCGACACAGACATTTTGTAAATGGCCGATATCTTGAATAGTCTTTCAAAGAGTTTTAAGATCGGACAAATGGTTTGAGCGTTTTAAGTTTAAACTGACAAAAATATCCAAGTCTGGCACCTGGGATGTCACTGCCTCAATTTGTGAGAAGGTACGTGGAAACAGCCTCTGACCAGTAGGTCAGTCAGTAAGTCACCTACTCTGGGGATACGAAGTTCCAGGCTTCAAATCCCCCAAATCCTACTTGCCAACAATGGGGATATTTAAGTTGGATCCCGTGCTATTTTTCTCTGCTAAAAGTGTTTGTACAGCAAAAACCTTAAAACTTATACTTATATATAATGGCACACTCCAGATCACTGCCGCTTGCGGCTATATATATATTTTTTAACTACATTAAACTTGATGCATCACCCGCAGGATCACCACCCAGCAGAGTTAAATAAAGTGGCAAGTTGGCAGGGAATTAAATATAAATGTGTCACTTACCGTCAGTCCCGTAGCAGTGAGAGTGGGGCTTTCAGTGCGTAAACAAACAAAGCAGGTGTAACCTTTCCAACCCACCGCAACGACAACACCGCTCTGCTATGAAACCCATTATTTCCAATGGCTTCTGCCACAACACGGAGGTTTGTTGGTGTGTCAAGCAACGTGCACCACGCGGCAAGCTGGCACACACGTCAAAGTAGTTGAACTTTTGCGCTGAACCCAGCTTCCACGCAGTGCTAATCGCTTCTTTTCTGAAAGGCCCTTTATGGAAGAACATTGTCCTCTCAAGACCTTCAGTCACTGAACATATAACGTTGCATCCTGTTGCCTCCTCTTGTCTGTGTTGAGAAAATGTTGCCTGCTGTCAAACACTAACATAACATTAGGAGCTTTTAAACTTCCAGGACTACACCCAATAACTGAATATCAGTCATTAATAACGCTGCATGAGAGATGTTCTCAATTTTCACTAAAACTTGTATGTATGGATGACAGTTGATGTCAATAACAGTTCAGTTTATTCCCCTCCTCAATAACAATTTACCCTGGTGGATAAATTAAGTTAATATTCCTCTTATATTAATAATACTTACATATAGAAATATAATTGTTAATGTTATTAAATATTAAAAATCAACTTATGTCTAGTGTTGTGAAATTAATTAATGCATAATAATCGTGATAATTGTGAAACCGTGATTATTCCTCTGACTATAATCGTACCAACAAAATCTGTAATCGTTGCATTCCTACGAACATTTCCTATACACAGTTCTGTAATTGAAGCTGCGAATAAGTAAATAGTAAACTTACATAAGCATATAATCCCTCTATTTTACATTGCGCGAGAACCACTCTTTTTTTGGCAACCAAGCTAGAATATTAATTTCCCTAGTTCACAGCTAGTCAACTTCCTGGAATTGTTTAAACTTATCTGTAGCCGGTCTCTGCCAAACATCTGTGGTTTATTGCCATTTTCACCAATGGTCTGGTATATTTTCATGGCTTTGTTTTGGGAATTCACTATTTGTGTTCTGTCTATGTATGTCATGAATTATTGTTTGTTGTCTGTTTTCATTGTTAGTTGTTGCATTGTCGTTTTTTTTTTAATACACTTTTCTATCTCAGTTGAGCAAAAAAACTTGAAAACTTGAAAATGTGCATGTAACAGGTGAATGGAAACCAAGAAAAATGACAGATTGTTCGGCCTTGAGTAAACAATGAGTGAGATAGAACTGCTATCTCGTAGCTGCGTGTTAGGGAATACATAAACACTGGTGAAATACAACTGTGTCATCTGGATGAGTGTTTTAAAACATAACCATCTCGCCCTCTTTCTGTCTTCTTCTCTCATTCAGGTCTGATGTACCTCGGGGGCTACAGGCCTGTTTTGGAGCCCCACCCCCACCACACCTCCACTAGCAATATCAATCTGGAGGAGCAGGGGGCAGAGAACCGGGACAGACAGAGTCCTAAACATCCCCGCCGCGGACCACTCATTGTGTAACACACTCAAACAAAGCCACACACAAAAACACACAGACTTCTCCGTCCAGAGTTTTTACCCTGCTATAGTGCTGCATTGCTGGATACTGTCCTCGCAGAACAGGGAACCCCCCCCCCCCCTTCCTCCTCCTCCTCCACCTTTCTGAACATTTCCCCGGATCGATTGATTGTCGTTGCTGGCGCTGAAACTCCTCTTTGAGTGGAAAGAGGAGGGAAGAGGAACAGAACGGCATCACCAGTCTTGTCGTCTGTGCACTTTTATCTCACAGGAGTTTCTTTTTTTTTTTTGTCTGTGATCTAACTTTTTGTGGCAATGATTACCCTACTGCTACATTATTATTTATTACCTGTAGGTCTAACCAATGAGAGCTGTGTATTATGACACTGTCTCTAGAAAAACACATGCTGCTCCTCTCCTCTCCTCTTTCTTTCCTCTCCTCTATTACCAGCCAAACAGTCAGGGGCTACTGTGATCGGCAATCTGATTTATTACTAATGTACTTCTTCTTCTCTGTTATAAACTGTATGTTGAATGAGTGGTTAGACACTATATATAAAAGTCAGCTCACACCGGACTACCTTACCTTAGTGAACTTAAATGCGCTGACTCCTCTCCTTCGGATCAGGGAGCTCCCGTCTCAACTTCGCATGCAGCTTTCAACTTCTGCTGATGTTTTCCCTCTCATTCCCGCCCACGATTTTCAAACACCTCTGCTGAATGTGAATACAGAAGTGATCAAACTTGCAAGGTGGCGGACGAGCCAAGAAATTGCATTGAAAATGAAATGTTACACAGAATGTAAGACGATGAACACAGATCTCTCAGAATGGGAATGTACATGATTGAAATGGTCACCTAAACTGGATTTAAACAAAAACTTTGAACCCTAAACTGGTTCTCCAGACACGCATTACCCCCACCACCCCCCACCCCCCACCACCCCACCACCCCACCACCACCACCACCACCACCACCACACCATCCTCTCCTTTTACAGCTCCATCTTAGCATGTCAGTATTATTGTAGTGGGACTGGAAATCTGCAAGTACCACCAAGCAATAAAGACGCTGAAACTGCATCTCCTGCAGGAGGACACTCATTTGCAGTTCAAACAAAAACTGTGTTTGCACTTGCCTGTTACATTCAAATTCAGACATTTCAATGTGTTTAATTGTTATTCATCATACAGTGAATTTGAAAACCTAAATGTGAGATTTAGGCCACACTGGTTAGCTGGCATTTTGTTCATCCTCATATTTCCCATTATTATAACCCCGATGTGCTCTTTTCTCCTTATTTGTGAAGCTTTCAGTTGTTTTGGTTTTGTATAACTTTAATGTATAGCTCACCTGTTGATGTTCTTCGTTTCTGGGTTTTAATTTGTTGCAAAACACTGTGTCGTTTATTAGAATGTGGATGAATATATGTGAACAATTTGTAAAGGTTTACAGACTTGCGCACACAGGCGTGCTAGATTAACTGAAAAGGGACAATATCAACATTTAATGCACTATTAGCTGTTTCCTAGACGACACACTTTGCGGTGCATGAGGCGATAGTAGAGTAAGCATGTTAGTCTAGGTCAGCCTGCACCCTCCTGTAGAATACTTGATGATGGATCACTGCACACACATAAAGCCGTACCATTTCTTTTTGCAGTGTTATATATCGGTTGCTGGCTCCTTATTCCCTTGACCCAAACTGTTAAGGTCAAGAGTACTGCACTACTATATCCAAGCTGCAAACAGTCATGTGATCACAGTCCGAATGTGTAGATGAAGCCGCTCTTTGGCACCAGTTGCAGTATGATATCAAAGTAATGGGTCCCGACCCCACTTTTTCTAGACTTACAAGTGAAAATGTCAAAGAAAACATCAATCGGACAATAAAGTTTTTGCATCTAGATGGTCACTGAGTTATTTGGTGTTGGTTTAAATGGGAAGAATTCATTAATCAGCACTGGGTTATGTTCTGGTTCATGTCCGTGAACATGAAATGCTGCTGAGTGATGTTTGCTAACATGGTCACCTTTACTGAAACTCTCCTCTCTTCCTTATTCAAACATTTTTCAAACTCTGGTTTGCAGAATTTTCTCACCACGGGTGTTTTTACCACTAAAAATAATATATCAGGGCATGTTTTTATTCCCACTTTTATCTCTAGTTAAAAAAATCTGATTTAAAAAGGAAAAACAAAAACAAATGGGGGGCAAATGTTAACAATTTACATAAAATATACAAAACCAAGAAATATAAACAAAAAACAAAATGATTGCCTTTCACTTCATAAAAGTTAGTTTTATTTAAAGCTGCACTAATCAATGTTTTTATGTTTATAATAGATCCATTGACTGTGTGTAATGTGAAAAGTTTAACCCACATACCCATCACTGACTGTAGTTTCCCTCAGCTTTATGGAGCATTTTAGCTACTTTCAGTTTCATCGTTTTGTTTTATGGCCGCAACTTCTATCTTTTGGTTCACTCTCACCGCCCTCATCGGCATGTCTTTTAGAAGAACGGTCAGGAAAATAGAGCTAAAAGAAGATTATTGGACTTATATTTACTGGGTAAACAGAAACACGACTCCAAATAAATGCTAATGTAGCTTTGTGACTGCCAGATGTGTAAACACACAGTTATTTGTTAACACATTAGCCCAAAAAGAAATAATACCTACTATAAACTTGACTCAGGTTCACACGTTAGAAAATTCACAGTAACCACGTCTTAGAGACAAATGGGTAAATGTTTTCCAGATTTCTTATAACACAGTTCGCCGTTTAGTATTTTCTCCCTTTCCAATAAAGTGTGTTACTTTTTAACCCAGGTACCAATGTTAGTCCAGGACAATAAGCAGGCTTGCTTGCAATATCATATATATATATCTATAATATAATATATCAAATACAACATAAAGTATCAGTACTATTTTTGAAAAGTAGAATGAGATGTATATAAACAGAGCACAGAGTATAGTGGTCATAGTAATAAAGTTGATTAAGGTATGATTACCAGACAAACCAGTATTTGTGAGTTGACTGTAGTGCTGAAACATGAATCAGCTTCTTGGTTACTGAATTGACAGAAAGGTAATCATTAATTAATTTGATAATCGATTTATCGGTTAAGTCGTTAATCAAACAAATAAGGCAAAAAACTAAAAAACTAAACACCAGCTGCGATTTGAATATCTTTGGGTTTGGACTGTTGATCAAACAAAAGCAATTTTAAGTTGTGTTTTGCACATTTTTCACTATTCATGACTTACGATTAATTGATCAAGCTGAGAAATAATCAAAAGAATAATCAATAATGAAAATAACCATTAGTTGTAGCCCCACCCAACCCCTTCTTCAAAAACTCCAGAGTAAACACAGAAGTCCATTAAAATACAAAGCCATTATATGAATTAAAACTGCAGAATGGAAGTAACTCATTGTTCAGAAAGAGACTTTTTTTTTACATTAATAATAAATCAGCTTAAATGCTTGGCAGCTGAGTGGGCTTTAACAGGAAAAGTGTTCATAATGTAATTACATGTTACATTACCACCTAATTGAATTTTACCATCTGTGCTTCTTATCGGAACTGGGAAATTTCAAGTTGAAATATCTGACTTTCATTCTCAAAGCATTCCAGGTGCATGATGGTACATGACGCCGAAAGTGAACAAAAAACATGGCTAACCGTGACAAACTCTTCGTCAAGTGTACAGGTAGTTGCTCCCTCAGCACTGCCCTTGTTGTTAATTAAAATTATTGCCGTTTTATTGAAAACAAGTGACTGAAGTGGTAATCCTCAAAAGACAGTAAATGTTGTAGGCTATACTTTTAGGCGGGCATTTTTTACATTTTACTGAATAACTTTTACAAAGAAGATGACTTAGAGATTCTTTAGTGTAACCAGCTACCAGCATATTTCTACATCAATGTACATGCAGAACAGGTTTTACCATATGATAGTGTGTATTACTTTAATTAAATACATGTAAAAATACTTTTTTGCCTTGTAGTTTATGGTTTCCCATTTACAATGTGTGCTTCCATTGTTGTGTGACGTCATTCAGCTGCTACTTGTGAAGTCGGGGTAGATATTATTTCTCTGATTTCACAAGTAGGAAATCCGACTTCAAGTGGCGTTCCACAGTACTTTTTCTAGTTGTGCACTCACATGTACAGACTTGCACCCACTGATGTAAATTCTCATTATCTCTCCTTCAGACAGTTAAATCCTCTCCACCTGCCTTTCCCTTAGATTTGTTATACATTGCTCAGCCTTTAAAGCAATCATCTTCCGTCTAACCTGCCTCAAAAGTTAAACCGACGTTGCGTTTCAGGCAACTCGGAACCCAGAAATTTCTGACCTCTAGCTAGAATAAGAACCATTGAGCGTCACTTGAAGTCAGAGTTCCAACTTGTGAACTCGGAGAAAAAATATGTACCACGACTACACGAGAAGCAGCTGAATGATGTCACACAACAATGGCAGCTCCCATGGAAGCACACCTTGTAACCAGTAAACCACGAAGTAAAAGGCAACATAAAGTATATTTGCCTGTATTTAATTAAAATAATTCACACTATCATATAGTAAAACCTGTTCTGCATGTAAATTGATGTAAAAATATGTTGCCACTGTTATCACAGGTACTCCAAGGGCACTGTTGAGAGTTCAGTTGTGTGCACATTTGACCAAGAAATATCAGTTTTTAGCGTCATGAACCATCAAGCACCTGGAAAGCTTTGAAGTCGGAAGTCAGTAATTTCGATCAGAATATTTCCTTCTTCCTGGCAGTCTGGAGCAGCACAAGGCCTGATGGATGCTGTATGCCCCACCCTCCTCTGTTAACCAATTACAACATCAATCAGTGCTGTCCAATGTGGGAGGGGTTTCTTATTTCAGTTGTTCTGTACATCCCTCCTCAGCTCAAATCGAAGGACAGCATCACAGAGTGCGTCTGGTCTTAAAACAGGGGCACACATTCACGGGTACAGATATGATGCCTGTTGCTTTTCTCCTCCTGATCGTCTTCACAGGTAAGACTTATGAGCATGCACTGAGGCGTGTTTATACCTTTTTGAAGACAGCAAGGTATCAGTGATAGTTTAGTTGAAATAGCATTTTCCATAATACTTGGCACTGTATATTATTTTTATTTATTTGTTTATTTTTGCAGGGACAGCACACTATTAAAATGAATTGCATCAGAGTTTGCCAGTATCTAATTTGCATCTGTTCTGATAAATTGTTTGAGGATCTGGGGCGTGTGAGTGTTGTCACAGAGCTCTTTCAAAATGCAAAACAATTTTTTAGTCAAACTCAAACATGACATTTTTTTGTTTGCCTGCTTCACACTGCTGATTCTTTTACCATTCTTGATATCATAGAAGGGAAAACATTACTTCATTGAATGTAAGTCAAATAAATGACTTTAAATGGACCAGAAATCCAGAAGACTTCCTCTTATCTTAGCATCGTAAAGCAAATTTAAAATCAGGGCTTTAGAATCTGATGCTGTTCTCTTCCAGGTTCGACCTAAGAGTATATGGTAAATCAATCAACAACAATAAAGACATGAAGAAAATACACATATAGTGTAAATACCTACAATAGGAAACACAAAAAGTACATTTAGGTAGTATTGTGTTATGTAACAAAAACCTTAGCAACCAGACATTGCAAGCAAATTATAAAAATGAAATTTGTGAAACACAAACCAAAAGCAAAACTTAAGCAAATTTAATTAAGGGGCTTTTATGTCACAAAAGGGTGAGCAACATGCTCAGTGTTTTCAAGAACATTAATATTGTATTATTAGGTTTTAAGAGAAAACTCCTCTCTGATAACTGTTGTTATGTAGATGGGGCATCCTCTAAGAAAGTGTGCAGTTACCAGGAGGTTGTGGACCACCTGAACCTGACCACAGATAACAGTGTACTTAAACTGACCCGGCCCGTCCTGGATTACACACACCCCACTGTGGTAGAGCTGGATATCCTCCTCTATGCCATCCTGGCTGTGGTAGGTAGCTGCATTACTCTGATGGTGTGTGGTTCATGTGCAAAATGGTGACATGCATTCGGTCAGTTCTGACGTGTGTATATTTAATCCCAGACTGAGAAAACACAAACTTTCATTCCTTTCATCTGGGCAACAGTGGTGAGTTGACTGTTTGAATCTTTATAGTTTTTCATTTTGATTATTTAAATACTAAATGTCTATTTTAAATTTGTATGCAACTCCGTCTCTTATTTTTCTGCTAATTCGTCTTACTACAGATGTGGAACAATGAACGTATCTCATGGGACCCCACTCAGTTTTGTGGAATCACTCAGATTTCAGTTCCTAAAGACATGCTCTGGAAACCAGACCTCTTCATCTATGAGATGTGAGTCTGCAGCAGACACAGATATATTTCCCAAATGTTTAAGTAATTCTATAAAGGAATGATAGAGACTGCCATGGGTAATTTAAATAACATAACTTAAAGATAGAACTTAAAGGGAACGTTTTTGGAAGAGGAACTAAATCAAGGAGTACAAAATCAAATTAAAAGTTTTTAGAGAATGGGAGGTATTTCTTTGTTGTAAACATGCACATGGTTAAGAATTAAGAGTTTATTTCCACCAAACCTGGAGGAAAGACTAACTAACAAGACGTTTTGGTAAGTTTTAATTTTTTTCTTTTTTTGGATGGGCCGGAGCTAGCTGGCTACGTCATGGGCATCTTTGACGTAACACGAGAACTGTTGCTTCTTCACATTCAGTTGATGATTTTAGTTAATTGAATGTTTTAAACTCTTAAATTCTTACACACTGCACCTTTAAAGTACACACAACAGTTTTAGTACTACTGTTAAGAGTAATAATCAATCACATTATCCTGAAGTGGTGACAGATGAG